GCAGCAGCAGCAGCAGCAGCAGCAGCAGCAGCAACAACAACAACAACAACAACAACAACAACAACAACAACATCAGCAACAACCGCAGCAGCAGCATCCGGCGATAGAATCGGCGCCACCGTTGACGCCGCCCACGTCCGAGTGCAGCAGCGACATCGAGAACAACAACCCGAACTCGCAGCCCAGCCAGAAGGACAAGGAGGTGCAGACCGTGATCGAGCAGGCCGAGGCGAAACCTGCGAGCTACACCTACGACACGCTGCTGGTCGCCGACGGCAGGTCCAAGAACAAGAAGACCACCAACGGCCAGAAGACGCCGGAGGCCGAGCCCGTCGAGGCGCCCGAGACTTCCAAGATCGGACGATACGTCTGCTGCGAGTGCGGTACGAGCTTCGAACTTGTCCCGGTTATTCGTAGCATAGGTGGTTCGTCGACGAGTCGGTCGCGCGCCGTTTCGGAGACTTTGCCAATTTCTTGCCAACTTTTACCGGAAGAGATAGCTTTCGCCCAGTTCCCTCGGGCGAACTTGCGCCGATCGAGAAGCACACGATCGGCCGAGGGTTGGGTCTGGGTTCGATCGACGACCGAGACTCGATCCGTCCGTTCTAGGCTTTTTTAACCTTGACACGTACAGAAATCTTCTAGAGAACTTCGTATTTGGCGAAAGCTCGTTCTAAAGAATAAATGTCTCGCCGAATCCGAAAGTAGGGGATTCCTGAGGTGATTCGAAGCAACTTTTTCCTTAGCGAAAATGCAATCCGCGGCTTCGTTTACGAGTTATCAACGAAATACAGAGACCGATCAGAGGCGAGATCATTCGGCGCGAGACGGCCGAGCCAATGAGCGGAAGTGGACTCGTGGGCGGGGACGCCGCGCGCCAGCCGAGTTCGCCTCTCATTGGTCAGTGTTTTTCGTCGATAACTCGTAAACGAAGCCTCGGAGAAAATTTTCGCAAAGAAGAAGTTGCTTCGGACGACCTCGGGAACCTCCCATTTCCGGATTGCGAAACATTTTCGGGACACCCTGTAGTAAAGAGTCGTTTCGGTTCTCAGGCAAGCAGTACGCGACCTCGTCGAACCTGTCGCGGCACAAGCAGACGCACCGCAGCATCGATTCCCAATCGGCGAAGAAGTGCATCCATTGCGGCAAGGCGTATGTCAGCATGCCCGCCCTCGCGATGCACGTGCTGACGCACAAGCTGACGCACAGCTGCGGGGTCTGCGGGAAGATGTTCTCGCGGCCTTGGCTGCTGCAAGGCCACCTGCGAAGTCACACGGGCGAGAAGCCGTACGGGTGCGCCCACTGCGGCAAGGCGTTCGCGGACAGGTCGAATCTGCGGGCCCACATGCAGACCCACTCCGCGGACAAGAACTACGAGTGCCACAAGTGTCACAAGTCGTTCGCGCTCAAGTCGTACCTGAACAAGCACCTGGAGTCCGCCTGCCAGAGGGAGAACGACGACAGCAGCAACGACGTCGACGCGTCCGTTTAAACCGGAGTGCCGTGGGCTGCGGGTCGACGACTCGGTCGCTGACCGACAGGTAAATCCTGTAGATCCCTCTTATCGGCCCGCCGAGAGGAGCTGGAGCTAAAGAATTTTTCGCGATCGAACCGCGAGGTCCGCGAGGTCCGCGAGGTCCGCGAGCCTCCGCTCGACAACTTCGAGCCCTGCCGAGCGCGGCAGCGGCCGAGAAAGAGGGGGAGAAGACCGTGACGATTTCCAGACTTCGCCCCTTGCCGCAGAAGCAGGGCCGCGTCGGCTAGCTTTTAAGAACGCGGTTGCTTCGATCGTGGAAGCAAAGTTGTCGACCGCCTAATTCGATTCGGGGCGATCGATCGAACTCTCTGTACAAGTATTTCGTTCCGATCGAAATACGTAACTTGGACGGATGCGAATCGGCCGTAGTTAGCGACAACGGGAAAACTTCGAACCGGAGCAATAATCGGGGTACGAACAATTCTGTTTAGCCAGCGACCGGTCGAGCCGAAGAGCGGGTCGTCGGATCCGAGAAGAGCGGAGACGGTGTGCGAGTCAACGGCCAGGCGGACGATTTCGCGTACCCGTCGGCCAGCGAGTGGAAAGCGAACGTTTTCGGGCTGCCGGAACCGTGTCGAGGAGAATGGGTCGATTCGAAGCTGAATCGGTCCTGTTGGAACTTCGATTGGAACTCGAACGGCGACGGCACGAGTTCGTCGCCTTTCTCTGCTTCCGCCTCGTTCCTAACTCCCACCCTCCTCCCTTCAACCACCCAAACGCTCCCCCACTCGCCCTCGTCGCTCCATCCTTCGCCGCGCTCCGCCGCTCTCTCCGAAAAAGCTCGCAACAACGATGGCGATTTCCCAAACTATTCCGAGGGGTCGAAGAGCTCGACAGGGTCATCGTCGATGCCACCGCACCGAACAAAACTTCGGCCGTCCCGAGCCAGCGAACGCATTCTTGGTAAGCGATCGATCTACTAGCGATCGACTCTACTCCGGCGATCGTTCGTGCCGCGATCGCTCGCGTTTCGGAACAACCGAACGGGCCCCTCGGTCGACGGCGCGCGTATTTAGAAAATGCACGGGACCGTCCCCCGATCGTTTCCTATTTCGATCGATTTCAAATCGAACGCGGGCCCGCGTAGATTAAATTTCAATCGAAAAAAAAACTTAAAAACGAGCAGCTCGAAGTACAACGAATCGAAAAATATATTTAACCCTGATCGCCGGACCAGCAGGGTGCGGCGATTCGTTTCACCCGAAAAAAAAAAAACGGCGAATATTAGCCCGGGACCTCGAAATTTCGATGCTTCGATAGGCTCGAGTCTCGGGCGGGACGCGTCTCTGGAACGCGAACGCGACGGGGAACGCGCGAGGGCGCAAGAGCATCGGATTCCGATTCCGATCCCGCTTCCGAGCGAGCGGCGATCGCGAACGGGGGTGGGTTCGCTATCGAGCGATCGGCTCGAATATCGTGGCGCGACGAAAGGAGACAAACGCGAGTTCCATCGGATCGATCGCGGCCGAGGAGACTCGTCGCTAGCCGACGCCAAGCGTTCCCGATTCGATCGCGAACGGCATTCTTTTCATCCCTCTGCGCCCGACGCCGCGCCATCCCCGTTCGGTAATCGATAGATGGCCGAAGCGAGCTGTGCCGCTTCGACGGAGAAGGAGAACGAGCGGCGCTCGTAATTAGCGGCACGGGCCACGGACCACGGGAGACGAGTGCCGCGGATCGTACCGCCGAATCGATGCGATGCTATCGAGGAACCATCGGTTATCGTCGCCGATAACATTCGTTCGCGGGGAATTTGCGCCGAAGGAGCCAACCGTGGCCGGGATCGGGAACGGAACGGAACCGGGAGCGCGACCGATAGACCCGATTCGGGACCGTCCGAGTCGCGTTCGCGCGGCCGTGGAGAACCAAAGTGGAAACCCGACGTCGATCTTCCGGCATTTCGGCTCGATAATTGCGTCGTCGCTCGCGTTCCCGAATTTATAGTTTCTCGGAGCCATAGTACTCTTCGAATTATTTGGAAAAGGGAAAATTCCAATGTACAGGGTGTCCCGAAAATGTCTCTTAATACGGAAACGAGAGGTTCCCGAGGTCGTTCGAAGCAACTTTTTCCTTTGCGAAAATTTTCTCCGAGACTTCGTTTACGAGTTATCGACGAAAAACACTGACCAATGAGAGGCGAGCTCGGCTGGCGCGCGACGGCCCAGCCAACGAGTGCACGGAGCCCAGTTCCGCTCGTTGGCTCGGCCGTCCCGCGCCAAATGATCACGCCACCGATTGGTCACTGTTTTTCGTTAATAACACGTAAACGAAGCCGCGGATTGCATTTTCGCTAAGGGAAAAGTTGCTTCGAATCACCTCAGGAATCCCCTACTTTTGGATTGCGAGACATTTTTGGGACACCCTGTACGGTAATGTCTCCCTTACCGACGCTCGGATTGTCCATTAAAATGGACAATTTGGGAAGAGGAGATACGATTATTCGAACCTCGTTTTTATAATTGTGAACAATTTATAACTATAAAAATAAACCGCGAGGCTCGAATAATCGTATCTCCTCTTCCCAAATTGTCCATTTTAATGGACAATCCGAGCGTCGGTAAGGGAGACATTACCGTACAGGGTGTCCCAAAAATGTCTCGCAATCCAAAAGTAGGGGATTCCTGAGGTGATTCGAAGCAACTTTTCCCTTAGCGAAAATGCAATCCGCGGCTTCGTTTACGTGTTATTAACGAAAAACAGTGACCAATCGGTGGCGTGATCATTTGGCGCGGGACGGCCGAGCCAACGAGCGGAACTGGGCTCCGTGCACTCGTTGGCTGGGCCGTCGCGCGCCAGCCGAGCTCGCCTCTCATTGGTCAGTGTTTTTCGTCGATAACTCGTAAACGAAGTCTCGGAGAAAATTTTCGCAAAGGAAAAAGTTGCTTCGAACGACCTCGGGAACCTCTCGTTTCCGTATTAAGAGACATTTTCGGGACACCCTGTACATTGGAATTTTCCCTTTTCCAAATAATTCGAAGAGTACTATGGCTCCGAGAAACTATAAATTCGGGAACGCGAGCGACGACGCAATTATCGAGCCGAAATGCCGGAAGATCGACGTCGGGTTTCCACTTTGGTTCTCCACGGCCGCGCGAACGCGACTCGGACGGTCCCGAATCGGGTCTATCGGTCGCGCTCCCGGTTCCGTTCCGTTCCCGATCCCGGCCACGGTTGGCTCCTTCGGCGCAAATTCCCCGCGAACGAATGTTATCGGCGACGATAACCGATGGTTCCTCGATAGCATCGCATCGATTCGGCGGTACGATCCGCGGCACTCGTCTCCCGTGGTCCGTGGCCCGTGCCGCTAATTACGAGCGCCGCTCGTTCTCCTTCTCCGTCGAAGCGGCACAGCTCGCTTCGGCCATCTATCGATTACCGAACGGGGATGGCGCGGCGTCGGGCGCAGAGGGATGAAAAGAATGCCGTTCGCGATCGAATCGGGAACGCTTGGCGTCGGCTAGCGACGAGTCTCCTCGGCCGCGATCGATCCGATGGAACTCGCGTTTGTCTCCTTTCGTCGCGCCACGATATTCGAGCCGATCGCTCGATAGCGAACCCACCCCCGTTCGCGATCGCCGCTCGCTCGGAAGCGGGATCGGAATCGGAATCCGATGCTCTTGCGCCCTCGCGCGTTCCCCGTCGCGTTCGCGTTCCAGAGACGCGTCCCGCCCGAGACTCGAGCCTATCGAAGCATCGAAATTTCGAGGTCCCGGGCTAATATTCGCCGTTTTTTTTTTTTCGGGTGAAACGAATCGCCGCACCCTGCTGGTCCGGCGATCAGGGTTAAATATATTTTTCGATTCGTTGTACTTCGAGCTGCTCGTTTTTAAGTTTTTTTTTCGATTGAAATTTAATCTACGCGGGCCCGCGTTCGATTTGAAATCGATCGAAATAGGAAACGATCGGGGGACGGTCCCGTGCATTTTCTAAATACGCGCGCCGTCGACCGAGGGGCCCGTTCGGTTGTTCCGAAACGCGAGCGATCGCGGCACGAACGATCGCCGGAGTAGAGTCGATCGCTAGTAGATCGATCGCTTACCAAGAATGCGTTCGCTGGCTCGGGACGGCCGAAGTTTTGTTCGGTGCGGTGGCATCGACGATGACCCTGTCGAGCTCTTCGACCCCTCGGAATAGTTTGGGAAATCGCCATCGTTGTTGCGAGCTTTTTCGGAGAGAGCGGCGGAGCGCGGCGAAGGATGGAGCGACGAGGGCGAGTGGGGGAGCGTTTGGGTGGTTGAAGGGAGGAGGGTGGGAGTTAGGAACGAGGCGGAAGCAGAGAAAGGCGACGAACTCGTGCCGTCGCCGTTCGAGTTCCAATCGAAGTTCCAACAGGACCGATTCAGCTTCGAATCGACCCATTCTCCTCGACACGGTTCCGGCAGCCCGAAAACGTTCGCTTTCCACTCGCTGGCCGACGGGTACGCGAAATCGTCCGCNCAGGGTGTCCCGAAAATGTCTCTTAATACGGAAACGAGAGGTTCCCGAGGTCGTTCGAAGCAACTTTTTCCTTTGCGAAAATTTTCTCCGAGACTTCGTTTACGAGTTATCGACGAAAAACACTGACCAATGAGAGGCGAGCTCGGCTGGCGCGCGACGGCCCAGCCAACGAGTGCACGGAGCCCAGTTCCGCTCGTTGGCTCGGCCGTCCCGCGCCAAATGATCACGCCACCGATTGGTCACTGTTTTTCGTTAATAACACGTAAACGAAGCCGCGGATTGCATTTTCGCTAAGGGAAAAGTTGCTTCGAATCACCTCAGGAATCCCCTACTTTTGGATTGCGAGACATTTTTGGGACACCCTGTACGGTAATGTCTCCCTTACCGACGCTCGGATTGTCCATTAAAATGGACAATTTGGGAAGAGGAGATACGATTATTCGAACCTCGTTTTTATAATTGTGAACAATTTATAACTATAAAAATAAACCGCGAGGCTCGAATAATCGTATCTCCTCTTCCCAAATTGTCCATTTTTGTGCGCAATCTGGGCGTCGATTAAAGAGACATTAACTGTATCGTACAGTTTGCTGCTTTGGAATATCTTGAGAACTAAAAGCTGTTCGTAATAAATTCTTAATTACGTGGAAACAGGCTGCCGATCGTTGCGCATTTTTCGAATCTACGGAACGATAGACTCTGCTCGCGAGTCCTCGGATTTTCGTAACGTTTTGCTCTCGAATTTACCGACGATCGGGGTGCAAATTTTTGACAACGTCGTGCCAATTTTTGATCTGTAATTATTTATCGTTGAATTTTGAACTTTTGTAATTTTTCACAAATGCGTAAAGGTCGGCTGTCCGGTAAATGCACGGTGAAATTCCGAACCAACGAAACCGTATAATAATAGAGAGTTTTCACGGAGCGAGTAGGCGTGGCTTGGCGGCTCTCGGAGCCGGAGAGCGAGTCCTTCTCAGACCCGTCGATCTATTGATCCATTGATATTATTTTTAACAGCGAACCGACAAAATCCTAGTTTCTCGGATCGAAAGCACTCGGCGACCACGAAACAAGGAGGGACAACGAGGAACCGACGACGGCGATTCCAGCGATTCGAGCGATTCGAGCGGTTCCAGCGGTTCCAGCGGTTCCACCGATACCGACGATTCCGGCGATTCGCCGGCTAAAAAACGTTGCCACGGGCCCGAATTTCTTGGGCAACGCGACGGGGCGGCGGCAGCGTTCTCTTTCCGATGTTCCGTCGGCGTTCTCCGCGCACAATGCGACCAGGCCAGGCACACGTCGAAGGTTTTCATCGCATTTCACGTAAACTGGACCACCTGTTGAACGCTGGAATGACCATTCGGTGGCGAAAGGGTCGGTCGTTCTGCTCCCCTGAATTATAGAACATCCTCCTGTAATTTCCCCGTTGTTAAACGCGCGAAACGCGATCTCGACCAATTGCGGCCCGCGCGCCCTAAAACTTATCGGCGATTTTTTTCGGCCGCGGCTCGGAGAACCCAGCGGGCATCGTTCGCGTTCTATTATGATTACGATTACGATTACGATTACGATTACGATTACGATTACGATTACGATCGTGGTTACGATCTCGATGCGTCTAGTCGTTGATGTTTCGCTTAATTTATTCGCTCGGACGATATTACGAATCGCGTATATATTATGTATATGTATTATATTTATATTTATATCTGTTTAATTTTAGACGAGGACACGCTTCGGTTGTTCTTTGGTTCTTCTAGTTCTAGTCCGTGATCGAATCGATCGAACGAGTCGCGTTGCCCGCGGAGACGCGGTTTTAGGGTGCAGGGGAGTTTGCAAACGATGTACTCTCTCTTCGTCGCCGCGATCGCGTCTTCGCTCGACGGGACTTTCGATCGTCGAATTATAAAAGCATCGTCGGGAAATTTCTACAATTTTGTTTTTTTACCGAAAAGCTAGAAGAACAACACCGTGACCGATATCGCGGAAACTCGTTCGCCGAACTGGCGCGCGCGATATAACCTGTACCGTCGCCGTTTCGGATAACTCTGCGAGAAAGATCGGCCGAAGCTGTCGGAAAAAATCGACGCGACGCTAAAGGAAAGGATCGCAGTTTTTTCTGAAACGTTCTCCAACGCGTTTCGCTCGACACATCTTGGGCGCGCGACGTCGGGACGGATCCGGATCGGTTTCGGTGGGAGGGGCAGCGAGATGGCCAATGTGATATTAATTTATAGCCGAGTCGTCGGAAAAACAGCGTCGATTTCTGGAGTCGAGCGTCGGCGACGAAAGGAATGCCGGGGAATATTCGCGGAGAAATCGTCGCATTTTCGTCGCATTTTCGTCGCATTTTCGTCGCAGGGAAAATCGTCTCCGCGCGCTAGATATTTTGCGTCTGCTTATCTCTGGGTTCTCTGGGTTGGGGCTGTTAGAGCGTTTTAGCGTTTAGCGTAGGGCGTAGGGCGTAGGGCGTAGGGCGTAGAGCGTAGAGCACCGAGCACGCGTAGGTACGTAGACGTCCGGTGGAACCCGAGTTTCCTTTCCGCGCGGTCCCCTCTTGATTTCGCGAAAGCGGACGGAAAGCACGCGCGAGACGGAACGGGAGACGGGAGGCGGGACGCGTTTTTGTATACACGACACGCAGAGATATTTTGGTACGAGACATTTTCACGGCGATTATACACGATAGGGGCGATAGTTTGCGTGCCGAAATCGCACCGAGTCTTGGCACCCCCGGTGTTTAGCTTTAAGTCTTGAGCGATCCTCGGTTGTACAGAACCGTCTGTCCTTTCGCTTCGTCGATCGTCGCGTCGATCGTTGATCGAACGTTTCGCCGTCTGCGCGCGTTTTCCCCAACCCTCGCGGCGCGTTTCGCTCTTTCGGATGAATTTTACAGCCCTGCTTTTTCCACGACCGAGGATACGACCGTCGTCCAGCCCTCGTTCCCAGAACACGCGATTTCGAACTTGGATCGGCTCGCGCCTCGGCATCGAATTCGCGCGGCGACGAAACGACGCGATCCAGCACCTCGACGAAAAATCTGTGAAGTCGAAAGGAGGGATGGACGAGAGTCGGTAAATTGTCCGATCGTTCTTTCGCTTCGCGCGATCCTAGCAATTGGGTGGACGCGGTGCGAGGGTTGACACGCGCAGCGATGCGCGCGTGACCGTGAGATTTCGAAAAACCGCACCAACCCCGAGATCGTATTCCGCTTCGTCGGTCTACGAAGCGTTCTCCGAGAACGGAGTAAAAACTTTCCTAAAATACTTTTGCATAAGCGACAGCTGCAAAAGCCAACGCACGGAAAATGTAATCGATGCCGTTGCGTCGCGTCGCGCAGCGTCGGCGGGCCAAGAATAAAGAAGCAAATCGTGTTCTCGTCGCATGCTCGCAACGAACTCGATTTTGTCGAAATAAAAGTACCGAAATACATGCTCGGCGGTACGGTATCGAGAAGAAAGAAACGCGGGCGAGCTCGTAGAGGGGTAAATCGTTCGCGACGCGATTTCCTCTGGAAATCGTGGAAATCGTGGAAATCGTGGAAATCGCGGAAATCGCGGAAAGGCCGGCGAACGGCGCAATAATTTCCGAGAACTCGAGCCTGCGACGAGAACACGTGCACGGTTTTTGATCGACGGGTGCCACCGGCAGGCTGCTCGGCATCGGAACGTCAGAAGTAGACTTGCCTAACGCTCCCGCATTCGCTTCGGAAACCTAGATTAAAAAGAGACTGTTGACTTGTAAATATATTCCATTATTTTTCTATGTTTTTCACCGAACGGATTCGAGAGAAGAGAACAAAAATTCGAGCAATAAGATGATTTGTGATTGTACGTAGGATTCGTAGCGGTAAATCGTTCTTCGTTCGTCTGAATTTAAGTTAAGCGAGTCTGATTCTGACCGAGAAGAAGAAACGAACGAAAAAGGGGGGTCAGCGAGAGAGAGAGAGAGAGAGAGAGAAAGAAAGACAGAGAGAGAGAAAGATCACAATGTTCCGCTGTGAGATTCGAGTAGATTCGTGCTCGATTTTCACGGATCCCATCGTTTGTGAGAGTTTCACGCGTCATGCCAGCGAGAAAGCAAGCAAGGGGAGAGAGAGAGAGAGAGAGAGAGAGAGAGAGAGAGAGAGAGCCTACTAAAATCATTTCGCAAGTTCGATCGCGGGCTCGATAGTATTCGCAGCTACCAATTTCGTCTTCATAAGTATATTACGATACTCGACAGTCAATCGAATCTATTAATTAAATAGAGTTAACCTCTCGTAACGGTAGTCAATAATATTCAGAGAACAGCGGACAACTGAACGGCCAACGATCCGATTTTTAACCGATATAGTAGCGAACGATCGAGAACAGAATATTCTATTAGATAATTAAAGCAACTAAATAGTACAAGAAACTAACCGAAGGTAATTTAAAGCAAATCGACTCGACTCGACTCGACTCGACTCTGCTCGAGGCCGAATATCGTCGACGACGCCGTTTCGATCCGTTCGCTCGGCCATCGAGGATCCGCGAGTCTTTCGGAGGAGAACGGAAAGAAACGGTGACCGTGGTAGACCGAAGATGTTTTAACGATCGTCCGATAGACATCGTAGGGATCGTGGAAGATCGAATCGATCCGTTGCTCGGACATTACGCCTGCGGAAACGAGGTTCGCTCCGTGAGCGTCCATAAATGGTAGAACCATCGACTCGGTTCGCGCGTCGAAAGTCATCGTCTACGATCTACGAACCACGATCCACGATCCACGTTGCTCCATATAATCTACAAAATGTCTAGAAAATGTCCAAAAAATCGAGCTCGCTTGTCTCGTTCGAAACACTTGGTACAAGAGATGGTGGTGTGTCTAGGACCGGCAGTTTTTCAGCTTCGCTCGCGAGCGTTCCAATATTTATGGACCAGAATTTCGAGAACGAACAAGAGAAGCGGCGCGAAACGAATTCGACGCTACCTAGATCTAGACCTAGACCTAGACCTAGACTACTGGTACACGTAGATCCGTTGTACCGTGCTCGATGAAACCAAAGAACGGGACGAGAGAGAAAGAAGAGGGAACAGTGCGTAATAATAATAATAATAATAATAATAATAGTAATAATAATAACGAACTACGCGGCAGCGAACGGGCCGACACTATTTTTTAGACAACCACGAAACGAACGAGATCCAGTGGCAGGCCCCAGCGGACGATCGTGCCTCGAACGTTTCTCGGTCCGGGGAAAGCTTCTGCCGGCGATAGGAAAACCATTTCTCTTCGGATTCGCGCGGAAATATCTCGAGTACGACGATCGTCCGAGCTACTCCCGATTTCTCCCATCGAATTTCAAAACGCTCCGTTGAGAGACGACGTCGTCGCCGCCCCTGCGTGAACGATCCAAAATGAAATCTATATGAAAATTCTCGGCGATCGTTTCGCGGCAAATGAAAATTTCGAGTCAAGAATTAACCGGAAGACGCTTCGAATCGAATCGAGTTTCTCCGACGAAACCTCGGAGAGCCGGAAACGCGAAAAGAATTTCGCCGGTCGGCCGACTGTTACGCTAATTAAGAAGGGGGAGGCAAGTTTGTAATCGCGATTACGTTGTCGTTATCGTTATCCGTATCTGTATCTTTATCTTTATCGTCGTCGTCGTCGTCGTCGTCGTTGTTGTTATCGTGAACCGTTCCCCCCGCGGTTACCGGTAACGGGGACACACCATTGGTATTTTCCAAGCGGTGATCGCTCGGATTCTCGTCGTACTCGTTCTCCGTCGCGAAGCCGCGCTCGAACGAAATTTTTCTATCGGATAAAATCGACGACCCCTCCCCGATGCACGAGCACGATTATACTCAACGTCGACGGAGAGACACCTCCTAGCTGTACAGTTACTTAAAGAATAAGAGCAACACCGAAGCCGCGAGCCGCGAGTCGCGAGCTCGCGGACCGAAAGAGCGCGCGACGAGGACCGCCGTACTGCCTGACGAAATAACGCTCGAAACAAGCGGACGACGAGTTTCGCGAGTCGCGTCGATGATAATCGAATCGGTAAAATCGGTAAATCGGTCCTCGATCTTTTCAACGGAAGGTTCTTCTCCCGTTTCGGACGCGTTCGCTTAAAGCGTAAGATCGCGAACGAATCGTCCGAAGGACGAACGGACGAATCTTTCGGAGGAGCGCGCGAGGGCTGGCCGAATCGTCGACTCGTTCGATCCACGTATTTCCGAGGTCGGAAAAGGACCGCGAACCGTCGAGTACCTCGATCGATGGACACAGACTGCCAAACGTTCGAGCACGGCCCACTCGTCGCATTTCCAAAGGGATCGATTCGCGCGAGCGAAGGGTCTCGATAATAGTTTTAAACGATTCGAAACGATCGTCGTTCGAGGCAGTACCGCGGTACGCGAGCGGCTCGTCCGCGGCCGCCGTCGCGACCGGGACCGCCCGCCATTTCGACCGGTCGCGCGTAATTAAGTATTAAAGCAAAAAAGAAAAGACTCTACAGAGGACCAAAGTACTTAAACGTTACTACGCCGAAGCAGCGGTAAGTCTAACGTAACGATTGATCGTCGCTTACGCGGTGATACGAAAACGTATCGTCGATGAAGAGGTGCGCGGAGCCGAGGAGAGAAGCACGGGAAACATGCGAAGCATGGAGAACATGGAAAACGCGGAACAAAAACGCGAGGAACGCGAGGAACGCGAGAAACGCGAAAAACGAAAGAAAGGGTGCGCGAGCGTCGACGAGTGGAACGCAGACGAGCGTGGTATATGTACTGTACATTTTGAGAACACGGTAAAAAGAACAACGAACAAACGAGACAGAGATTGTCCACGTAAATGTAATTAGTTTACTTATTAGACAGACACCCCGAGATATATTGTATATGGATATGTACGTGTATGTTAGTCGAATGTCCCACACAGACGCCTAGCCGGCCGTGACCGCCTCCGATCGATCCCGAGGTCGTCGTCGGGATCCGTTCGAGTTCGAACTCGACTCGTTTTCTATGTATAATCGATGATCGAACTTTTCTCTAGCGATCCAGCAACGTTAGAGGGGAAAGAGACGGAGAATCGAACGAACTTTTTAGAGATTTTGCTGTGAAACGAGACAGACGTTCGGACAGCCTCGGGGACCGTCGACCTCGATCGACGTTGATTCGACGTCGCGATTAAATCGATGCGAACGAAATCACGAAAGAACGAACTGCGAATCGAACCGCAGGATTTTCTTGTATACGTATTTCTGGGAGAAGCGAGCGGCACTCCCTCACCGACGCTCAGGTTGCGGTAAATTCTCCCTAATCGACGCTCGGATTCTGCACAGAAATGGACAATTTGGGAAGAGGAGAATACGATTATTCGAACCTTGCGACTCGTGTTTATAGTTGTTGACGATCGATAACCATAGAAAACGAGCAACGAGCCTCGAACGATCGTATCTTCTCTTTCAAAATTGTCTATTTTTGTGGACAACTTTAGCGTCAGTAAGGGAGACATTACTCTAACTCCATGCGGGCGAGGATCTTTTCAAATATTTTGGATGGAATCTGAGTTAACAGAGAGAGAGAGAGAGAGAGAGAGAGAGAGAGAGAGATTAATCTTTTGTTATTTAATAATACTCAGGGGACGCGAACAGTTTCGACGATCGGTATCGGTCTATACCAGCATTTACAGACGGCAACGTTCAGCTCCGCTCGAAAAGTCGTTCGTCAATTTTTTCAGCAATTTTATAACGACGCTTTGTCCAGATCTTATCGATCTTATTGATCGGAACGAATCATCGGGGGAGTCGAGTAGTCGGACGTTGGACGTTGGGCGATTCGAAATGCTGGATCGAAATGGATCCTGAGCGCGCCATCCGAGCGATCGAATACTCGGAGAATTTGTCCGCAGCTTCGATGAACAGTGATTTCGCGCCGAAAGGACGAACTCGTCGAAATTGCTCGAAGAAGAATCAAATTCTTGTTCGCATCTTCCATTTCTTTCGAGAACAAATCTGGAAAGTCCGAACGAGTTCTGGCAGATACGGTAAATTCGCCCTGATCGACGCTCGGATTCGGCGCAAAAATGGACAATTTGGGAAGAAAAGGAGATACGATTATTTTTGTAGTTACCGATCGTCGAGAGCTATGAAAACGAGAGCCGCGAGGCTCGAAAATTCGTATCTCCTGTTACCCAAATTGTTCATTTTCGCGCAGAATCCGAGCGTCGATCGAGGAGAATTTTCCGCAATCCGAACGGAACGCTATAATCGTTGCAACGATCGTCGATCGAGAGCGATCGCGAGAATCGCTCGAGGTTGTCCAAACACGTGGACGGGTGGCACGGCGGAATGATTTCGCGACGGCGAAACGGGGCGTGAAAAGCGAATTATCCGTTGGGTAATTTAGCGGATAACTCGTAGGCGCCGCATAAAAAATAGGTTATCCATTAACGAATTCGATTACGAAATTGATCGGAGCACGGTTCACGGCGCGGCACGGCACGGCACGGCACGGCACGGCACGGCACGGCACGGCCACGGCACGGCGCCGTACCATAATTTGGATTCCGCTCGAGTCGCAAGCAGAGTCAATAAATATGGAACCTGCGCTTAACTTACATTACCGCCCAGCGATGGGATCGAGCCGGATGCCGGTCGATTCGATGAAACTCGTTTCGCTCGGCTCGATCGACAACGATGAACACGGAAAGAGAAAGCGTCGTCGTTATTCTTAGTTGTCGCACAAGCTTTACCGATCGAACACTCGCAATTATTTGATCGTCGATCGTCTCGCAGTACAGAGTACGGTACATTACAGTACAGAGTACGGTAATGTCTCTCTAATCGACGCTCGGATCGTCCACAAAAATGGACAATTTTTGGAAGAGAAGGTACGATTATCGGAGCCTCGCGGTTCGCTTTTATAGTTACGAATTGTCAACAACTATAAAAGAACGAGCCGCAGGGCTCGAATAATCGTATCTCCTCTTCCAAAAATTGTCCATTTTTCTGCAGAATCTGAGCGTCGGTTAGGGAGACGTTACCGTACCACGCGAGCGATCAGGGATTAAGGAATATCGAACACGGACTTATTCGACGATTTTCTGTAAATAATGATAAAACACAGATTCTCTTCCGATTCTTCCGATTCTTCCGATTCTACCGACAGCGTTCGCTTCGTTTGGGAAGCAAAAGATAAATATATTCAAATTGCAAAGAACGGAAACAGGTATCGCGCGTGTTGCGAAGCAAAGAATCGCGACACGTTTTCGATTCGATGCATCCCCGATCCCATCGCTAATTACAACCCGTTAAGAGTCGTTTCACATGCACACACAGATACACACGAGTATTACACGACACGATCGAGCGAACGAACCAACCAAAGATCGAGAAAAGAGCGAAGAAATACACGAGTCGGGCAGCGGAAACCGACGTCGACGAAAGCGGTTACGCGCGATAAAACGATTATTACGACGACGCCGCTCGTTCGTGGAAAATCTCCATTGGAATTCGCCAAATTCAACGATTACAAATATACGTTTAAGACCGCCTGCAACCGTAACAACTGCAAGCCTGCGAGTCTCTGCGAGACCGCGGCTAGAATACGAAGAAAGCGACGCGTGTAATTATCGATTCGTTACGTTAGAAATGGAAAGAACGAAGGCAACGCGTCGTCGCTCTCGTGATCGGTAACGAATTCGTGCGATTTCGGTTTCCATTGTCTTTGTCGAACGGATACGAACGAAACAACCATGATCGTCGTGTAAATCTGGCTCTCGGAAAAGGGACGAGAAACGGATACGAGAGAATACGAATGGGAACCGAGAGAAACACGGATAGAACGCGAAACAAAATGAAAAGAAAAACAAGAATAGGGTTTAGATTAGTGTGATACAAGGTACGACAAAGCAATAATTTAGTGATTGTATGATACATTTGATTAGTGAGTTAGCGTGCTAAGTTTAATGGTAAAACGTTTTCGGAACGTATAAATATTTACTCGATAAATCGTATAGTTTTGTAGAAACGCTGGGACGACGCGCCACTTCGGAGGAGAAAAACCAAAAAGAACAAAAAAAGAGGGAGAGAAGGAGAGAAAGAGAAAGAGAAAGAGAAAGAGAGAGAGAGAGAGAGAGAGAGAAAGAGAGAAAGAAAGATAGAGAGAGAGAGAGAGAGAGAGAGAGAGAGAAAGTGAAGAAAGGAAAAAAGAAAACTAAAAACGCTGTCTTGGGATCAATAATTTGTTACGTCGAAAATGAACTTATACTTTTTATAAAATCATCCATTGAAATAGAAAACGATCCTCCTTCCGACCAATCGGAATGAAAACAAAACAATAGATTGGCGTTCGTTTCATTGTTCAAAATGAGGATGAACCTTTTGTAAGTGATGTCGTATCGGGATTATTCGAAAGACGAGAACGTCCTACTGTTCTTTGCAGTTTTTTATCGATTCTTTTCGAGTTCGATTCGCTAGAAAAAACCGGATCGAACGAACTCGGTATCGTAGTATGCGCTGGCATATTTTAGTGCTGCTAGTTTCGTGCTCGAACACACACATGCACGCTTGCACACGAGTAACAAGTAACAAGTAACTAGTAACGAACAACAAGTACAAGCGCAAACGGCTCCTGCTCGTAGCGAAATGGACCAATGAGAAAGTATGCGACGTGTCGCAAATAAATTCGCTGTTGTTTGTTTTACAACAAGTCCATCCTTGTCCTGAACTAGACAGCGACGCGAACCGATGATCTTTTTACTTTCGTCGTGCGCGTGGACGATCGTTCCGATCGAAGCTCTTCTCTTCGATCGACGGATCGATCGAGAATTTCGCTTTATCTTTGCGCGAGGCGTGCGTTTAAAGTTTAAACGAAGAAAGAATTCTGGAATGTTTCAAGCGAATACCTGTGATACGAAACGTTCGAGTTCCTCGAACGCGAACCTGAAACTTACAATTAGTCATTTTGGGAGTTAATTTGGGAGGCGGGACAGCGACAAAACCGAGTAAATTAACGATAATCGCTAGGCTGCAATTTACGCGTTTATAACGCAACGAATGAAATACGAAGCGAACGCTCGATCCGGTCTCCGAAAATCTCCGAATTAATTGGCTTCGGAAAAATTTAATAAATTCCTTGCAATTAATAATCTCTGCGTGCGCGCGCGTGTGTAAGGAAGTTCTCGGATAACTCGAGGTAACTTGTTAGTCTCGAAAAGAAATTACCAAGGTTGTTACAAGACCGATGACACCTTACATCTTCGTCGAACTGCCGTCGACGGCATCCCAAACTTTTACGCGAAGAATTTTTCACGATACCAAATTTGAAAAACAACACATACCCTTGCAGCCCGGCGATCGCTAGATAATCCACTGCCGTATTTTTTCTTTTTTCGAACAGGGCGAAAAAAATATGTAGGAGTGCGCATAAAAAGAGAGGAGTTAAAATATAAAGGCGAACTTCTCGATCGGGGCATAAACGTGAACGATCGGACCATAGAATTCCCAAGGGCGTTTCGGATCCTAAAACAAGTTTTCAATGGAAATCCCAAGACTGATAGTGGATACGTCGAGATGCATGCATGCGCATCTGTATTGCTCGGATCTGTTTCAAATTCGCGTCTGAACGAGCTCGATGCTTATCTTATTGAAATCGTTTTTCAATGTTCCGACTTACCGATCGATGCGCGCAGGAAAGAGGGGGGGAGAGAGAGAGAGAGAGAGAGAGAGTGCGAGAGAGAATGGGAGAGAATGAAAGAGCATGATCGAAAACAGAGAGAGAGAGAGAGAGAGAGAGAGAGAGAGAGAGAGAGAGAGAGAGAGACAAAGCGTGGACGAAGGTTCTACATTTCCATATTCGTGGACGCATCTAGTTCTTCAGTGAACAGAATTTTTTAATACGTTGCACGCTACGCCGGTCACCGATGATCGAACGAACCATGAAAATACGAATGAAACGAAATTCGGGTGTACAACGTGTTAAACATTTTCTTCCCGGAAGTTATTGGTCCCTGATTTATTTTCCAGCCAATAATACGTTTCGTTGTTTCGATAATCTACGAAATAGTGGTCAGGAAAATCAATGTACCATTTTGTACATATCGAAGTTGTTGAATGTTGCATACAATATATGAGGTAAGAGGTAATTTAGTTTGAAAACAAATGGGAAGACTGTAAATAAATTATTTTCGAACACGTGTTTAGCCACCCGGGGCGAAAATTTGTTCCTAATGCCATGAACCTAATCGACGCAGGACCTTCGTCGCATTAAATCTTTTTCAATCTTATTATACAAACGAAAAGGTATGCGTATGTAGATATACATATATATGTATGTATGTATGTATGTATGTATGTATGTATGTATGTATGTATATGTATATGTATACGTATACACATATTGTATGTATAGACGGACCTTCGTATACAAGGAACGCGATTAGAGTTGTTTTCGTTTTTCTTTCTCCCGTTTCTTTGTTCGACTTCCTTTCCTTCCAAGGATGTTACACATATATGATAGAAAAGAACTCAATCTACAGACACGCGTACACGTACACTCGACACATGCGCGTGCGCGCGCCCAATTCACGTACACCCACAAGCGATATATTTTCATTGGAGCGCACCAGGAATTCCGCCAAAGCGAAACCCAACAATTAGAAGCAGTAACGTAAACAAATTATCAATGTACTTATTTAAGAATGGTACAGTTTAATTGCACTACATTTGTAAACTTTATTAACTATACGTTGCAAAAAACATAAATCGTGGCTTATCATTTCTTTCACCCCTAAGACCTCCTACGACTCGTTCGGGCAACTTGCTTTTTCTATAAATTAAAGAACGTGCGATTAGAAGCGACGCGCCTGAATGCATCGGCGCGACGAATTTGTTCCGAAGAAAAATTTCCATGAAGCCTTTGTGTCGTTCCATTATAATTTATTCAAAAAAGTTCATGCTAGTCGAAGAAGATATAATATACATTACAAAAGAACCGCGGTGATAAAACGCCTCTCTTTGTAGGGCTAAAAACGTGGTGGCCACCGACTTATACGAGAACGACAATTACAATCGACGCAGTCGACGCAAACGAACGCACCTTTTTCTCTGTTGATACTTAAATATCGCTATATATTTCAAACTATAAGACAAAGTACTTAGCAGACTATCATCTAACCTAATATAATTATACTCGTGATTCCGGCTGATCCTTCGGATTACCGGATGCGGGTGCCTGCGGCGATGATGGCGGGTTCGCGTCGTCTTTTTTAGTCGCGTCGTCCTTGTTAGTCGCGTCGGCATCCAACGATTTATTCCATTCCTTCAATCCTTTCGGCAGGGTAATATCCTCCTCGAAAGATCCTGTGCCTTCCACGAATTGCTCGTAGGTCGACTTCTCCGGGAACGGCCTTGCCCCCAGCAATTCTATCATGTCGTCCCTACTCAGGATCTCCTGCTTCAGTAACCTTTCAGCCACCTGGTACAAACGGAATACAACATTATTTCTGGTCTGTCGTTCTATGCCATTGATTCGGACGAATTTCGCAAACAGAAGTCGAATCGGGTGGCGGACCTTGTTCCTTCGGAGAGTTACCTTTGAAAGGTGAATAGATATCAATTATAAGCTGTACCTTGCCCACATCGTCCTTGTGTTTCGTGAGCAGCTCGTGGGTTCGCTTGTGAGCTTGCTCGATTAATATGCGTACTTCGTTGTCGATTAATTGCGCGGTGTGTTCGGAATACGGTTTGTCGATCACCGTATCGCCGTACTGCGGCATTTCGAAGCTAACATTGCCCACCTTTTCGTTCATACCGTACTGAATAATTTGAGCGTACGCGTTCTGGGTGATCTGTTGAAAATATCATTCCGCAAAAATGGTCGGATTATAAAATCAATTGCAAGTCCAATAGAGTACGTATTACCTTCTGTAAATCGTCTTTCGCTCCCGTTGTTATACGACCAAAGAATATCTCTTCGGACACTCGTCCACCGAGCGTCATGCACATCCTGTCGAACAATTGTTCTTTGGTGTAAAGATACTGTTCGCGCGGTAAATACTGAGCATAACCTAAGCCTTTCCCACGGGGGATTATGGAGACCTGTTGCGTTCGTGTGAAAAAAAAATAATGGTTTTAGTTCCTCGTTCTAAGCGTTGAACAAGCGTTAAGGAAGTGTTAAACGTACTTTCAAAAGAGGATCCGCGTGCCTCAGAAACCAGCCTGCTACCGCATGGCCGGCTTCGTGATACGCGACTGTCTTTTTCTCGTCGGGTTGCAAAACATTTGTCTTCTTTTCCATACCGGCGACAACTCTCTCAATAGCCTGTTCAAAATGCGTTAGTTGAATGTTATCGTTCATATCTCTCGCCGCTATTAAAGCCGCTTCATTGCACACATTAGCAATATCAGCTCCTAGAAAGACCTATGTATAATACTCCGATGGTACAAGAGCAATCTTTCAAATATTCCTTTCGGTAAAGAATACTGTTTGTAAGTTTTATAGGAACGTTCGAGTAATCTTTGGCATTCGAGTTTGGCATTCGAACTTTTCAGCTACGATATCTTTTAAAGATACCCTATAAGACTTTTAACATCGTCCTTCTCTTTCTAACGAAACTCGCATACCTGTGAAGCCAGGCGTCAAGGAAGCCATCTTTCTAGCTAATTGGTCTTTATCTGTGGTAGTTTTCAAAGGCGCTAAATGTACTTTGAAGATGGAAGCTCGTCCTTTAATGTCCGGAGCGGGTACAAAAATTTGTCTATCAAATCTTCCAGGTCGTAGTAACGCCTTGTCTAGGATGTCTACTCTGTTGGTAGCTGCCAATACGACTACGTTGGTCGTTGTGTTGAATCCTGGTGAAGAATAAGTTGTATCAACAGTCTGGTGAATACGATATTGATCGAATGCGTTCGGTTATTATTATTATGTACCGTCCATTTCAACTAGAAGTTGATTCAACGTGTTCTCCTGTTCGGAGTGACCGCCGAAATTTCGGCTCCCTCTTTTCCTACCAACCGCATCGATTTCGTCAATAAATAATATACATGGAGCATGCTTTCTAGCCATGGTAAACATGTCTCGAACTCTCGAGGGACCAACACCGACGAACATTTCTAGAAATTCGGAACCCGACACTGTGATAAATGGAACATTCGCTTCTCCGGCTGTAGCCTTAGCCAGTAATGTTTTGCCGGTACCAGGTGGACCTGTAAATCGTTCACATGTTCACACGGTTAGTACCGTGATCAAATGCGTAATTAATTATTAGATAAAGTACGTTTACCTGTCAGCATTGCACCTCTAGGAATCTTAGCACCAAGATCTATGTACTGTTGAGGATTCTTTAAAAAATTTACAAACTCCATTATTTCAATCTTTGCTTCCTCACAACCAGCGACATCCCTGTATTTTTTTTAATATCATACAATATGATGGTCTATTCATAGCAGTTTCATGACAAATCATAAACTATTACTTAAATCTGACATCGCGTAATTGTATACAATTCTGTTCTACTCTATCGCATGTTTCCTTTTTCATTTGGTTTCTATTAAACTAGTAAGTGAAACTGCTTGTACACGCATTCCTCTTCTATAGCCGCTCGTTATCCTAAAACGTGCTAGAAAGAAAGAGCCTCAGAGTAGAAGACAATTGTCTACAATTCATCGGAACGCTAAAAGAAATAGTGATACATATACAATCGATAATCTCACGGAATCACTTACTTAAATCGGACATCGATATCTTTGGAGTTAATTAATTTCGCAGTCGATTCCATCACGGAACCAAAGATTCCGCCTCTTTTACCACCGCTACCCAAACTTTGCACCGATTTCCGCAACAGGAGTAACACAAATCCTACAATTGAAATATTTCTATTGCGATTGACCGTAATTTATGAACATCCAATTTAAATGAAGTATAAAGGAGCATGTCCTACCCCACATCAATATTTGAGGCACGAATTTCAAAAAATGCTGCAATTCAAGTTCGTCTTTATAGACTACCAATAAATAATTTTGTGGTTCTATGTTCATTTCTATCTGGGCATTTTCTAAATTTCTCTCAAATGTTTCGGTACTTCCAATATTGAACCACAGGGTATCCTATAAAATTAATTCAACAAATTGAAATAAAATTACGTGGTTACCCTATATAATTTTGTTTCACATATAGGTATAAACTTTAGATAGTAATCGAACAAACTCACAGTTCCATGTAAGAGCTGACCTGGCAACAACTTCACGCGAACCCATTGTTTATTAATAACTTCTAATTTGTCTACGATTCCTTTGTTCAAACACCTGCAATTATTTTACATTAGATTTCTATCCAATTTAATAAAAATTCATGTTTATTCAAATTGACGAGGATATATAATTACTGTAACAAAAACTCCCTCCATGTAACTTCTATGCCGTAAGATGCTAATAGCTGAAAGTATACTAAAATAGTTAACACCGTCATGACACCAATTAAATACATTGTTCTTTCATTCCCTGTCTCTTCGAATGGTTTTTTCCCTCCTGGAAAGTTCATATTGAATTGAAACTTCCATTGACGACCAATATTTTCGGTAGACGAAGATTTAGAAGATGATTCGGTCGTTTCTGGTTTAACAGGCTCCTTAGCCGATCCCTTTTTAACTTTATCTGCAACTTTTTCTGCAGTTTTGGATCCATCCTTTTTGCTACCTATAAATAAAAAAACAAAAATATAAGACAAGTTTATAACAACAAGGTACAAGTTTGTAACAACCTTTAAAGAACTTTTCAAATCCACTCGGTGGTTTATTCATTAATAGCCTCCATTGTTGTTGTACCTGTTCCAATACAGCCACCTCGTTGCCACTTCTAAATAACGACAAGTACCTTCGTAACTGAAATCAATCGTAAACAATTAATTATACTATTTACACATAATTTATACAAGAAAAGCACAAAACTAATAAAATAAATATATATTTGAACTATGTACAAAATAAAACTCAATATACTATTCTTAGCAATACTGAAATGTGAACTGCAGTTTGCTTTATGTGTGCTTTAAGTAAAGTGTTTGATTGCTTTTATACAGACGACATAAATAGAAACAAAGTATACGGATTTGCGCCGTACCGATTAAACAAGCATAAAGATTAAGATTCGTAATCATGATCCAGAACAAATATATTTTTTGTTTGCTAATAGAGAGCATAGGTTATAATAGGTTACATTCATACCCGAAGTGTATCCTTATTTTTATGTACGAATTTTAAAACGAATTTCTCGAATTTAGTGGCCGAGCATAATAATTGATGAGCCATTTTTTTGGAGTCGTAATCGACGTAATCACGTAATATGATGAAATTTCGTGAGTTCTATCTCTAATACAACCGCATAACACATCACCGGCTACAAGCCACCATTTGCCACCATTCTACTAAATCTACCTAATCTTGGCCCCAGTCCCCACTTTCCGTTTTCAACACACACAACTCGTGACACGAGTAGAGTGTTCATATTACGTAAAACATTTTTCTAAAGATCTGCTGCTATTGGTCGATCATCGTTGCGCCAACAGAATCAGCTAATGATGAAATATCGACGCATTTTATGTATGTATTGATTCGTAAATTTCGCCAAATGATCAATGTGTTGAAAATAGAATGTAAACCCACGGAAAGTATTTTTGATTTTCTAAGAAAAATTATTTTTATTATGTTGTATGTTGTTTACGACATTCGTCTGAACTACAGCGCGATAATTTAAATAATCCTATTTGTCTACAAAATTTTAATTATTCCGTAACGTACAAAATATATTCTGTATCGACAGTGGAAATTAATATACATATTTATCGATATGAAATTAGAATGAGACTTATTTGTACAATGCAACGAGAATGTAGAACAATAAAACCGAAGAAGAACAAATTACAATGTACAAGTACGTTCTTCTTACATTTGTTCGCACAGGCAGCTTCATTAACTCTGTGCACTTAAAGCGTTTTTCTGTTACTTGAAGGAAGCGGTAAGAAAAATAAAGCGGGTGGAATTTTAAAGTTTCGAGAAGCGAACAATAAGATAGCAATAGTTTCATTGTATGTATAAAAGAGAATTTCAAGATCAACTGCCGTTAGACGATTATATTATTATGACAGAGCAGTTGATCATCATTAATAGCATTGCTTATAATATATAATGTACAGAGTTAACGATCGACTATGTATACTGTACACGAAAAAGAATATTAATCATTCTTAGTCGTATGATCGGAACTCCTGTGCTAACTTCCCGTTTGCGAATAATTCGAATTCTCCTCGATGCTTATAGAACACGGAACGTATTCTTGTACCGATGCCTGGAAGAGAGAAAGAGGAATGAAGAAGTTGTTAACCACCTATTGCTTTGAGTAATGAAACAGTCGAAATACATACAGAATTAACAATAATTTGTCGTCCCTCTTCCAAGTTCAGTCCATCCATATCGTCCGCTGTTAATATTATTACAGAATCCTCAGCTATGCTATTTTCATCTATATAAGTTATAGGAATTTCTGAAGATACCTGCAGTTCAAATATTGCATAATGCATGTATTATACGATAAATTTGCAATTAAAAATAATTTAGTACCTCGCAGTATGTGAAATCAGATCCCCCTTGATTCTTTACTACCGCGTTCTGTTTAGAATTCGCTATCCGTTGTTTCCTCGAGTTCAACAAACGCTCCGACTTTTTACCGTCTTGTTGGAGTCGTCTCCATATCGTCGTTTTAGGAATACGATAGGTCATCGACGCAGCAGCTTGCGACATTTTTCCTCCTTTACACGCAGCAACCGCTTCCTCCAAACGGGATCTTTTCAACTCTTCATTTTCCGTCTTACGTTTCTTCCAAAATGACAATGGCAACTTTCCCTCGTCCACTAAGCGAGCTTTGTCCCTGAACAAAGTGGTCTTCGGAATCTAAAATTATAAATCAACGTTATCGAGGAACTTTGATAAAATAAAAATCAGTCGTCTTACTTTAAATTCAAGCGCAACTTTAGTTAATTTTTCGCCCCTCTCCAAAGCTTTAAGCGCAGCTTCTCGTCTATCAACGCCATAGGTCATCTTCATCTCGGAACGTAGTATCTTATATCCTTCCTTCTGAATTCTTCTCCATAAGACAGTCTTAGGTATACTGAACATTTCCGACGCATGTTGCAAACTTGACCCACCTATCGACGAAATGAAACTGAATGATATGAAAAAATGACTACTTTAATGCATCTGCTAGTACCATTTTCTGTGATAACCGTTTACTATATTTGGAACATTGTAATACCCGATAGCAAAGATATTGATATATGTTGCGAAAGATACCAACCGATTACAGCATTTATGGCAGCCTTCATGCACTCTGCAGGATATTCGTTCCTTGTTGCAGTTAAGTGCACACCTAATGCCTTTGCACGCATGTACAACGTGGAACGTGGTACATTGTGTTTAGTTGAAGCTTCTATCAACGTTTGTCCTGACTTCAAGCCATCAATCGCTGATGCTAACATATCGTCGCTGTATTCTCTTTTAATTGTGTCACGCCTGCGTTTCTTCTTTTTATTCAATGTAGAATTCTCAGGGAATCTCTGTTCTTGCTGATCTTCCAAATCTTCGTACCCATACTGTAATGCATTCATAACATTTTCATCCGTTTCATTAATTACAGTCATTGGCTCCTCGCTGTTATCGTTGTAGTCTTTAGTACCCGCGACCGAGTGAATTTCATTGAGCCCATTGATCTGTAATCAATATTGAATATCAATAACTAATCGATGCTGGTATAAAACTATCTGTAAACTAAATTAAGGGAAAACCTCGATGAGACCACATATTTTCAAGGAACGCGCAGCATCCAATAAACTGCTAATATTCTCCACTGCTACTCGCACTTCTCCATGATAAATAAATTCAACGATAGATCTGATATCTTGTGCCGATACATCGCTTAGTATTATTGTCGGATGGTCTTCGTTTACTTGACTCAGAACATCCTACGAATATACAAAAAGAATGTTAAGCTACATATTCTCTTTACATCAAAATATGATTCATGCTTAAATTAACTATATAATCCTATAATAATAATTAAATATTTAGGGAAATTTTGAATAACAAGCGATTAATTGTTCGCAATTTTTTGCAACTGTTTACGAACATTTTTCTAAACCAATTCCGTTTATTTCTTTATAGGTTCAAGCAGATTCCAAAGAAATTGGACACCTTGAATAAATTTGATTAAGCATTGTTGAAATTTTAGGAAAATGTATGTGTCAAAGTATGTGAAATCTGTAATTAATTTATTACGCAGTTAAATCGACAATAATCATCATAAATACAGAGGGAATCGATGTTTTGGAGTATATTAGGTCGACTCGAAAAAATACAAAAGTTGTTTACTCGAAACAAAGTGCTACAAGCGCAGAGGACTATGCGATGGGCATGAATGCGCTCTCCAGCAGCTGCCAGTATTACATCCACCATACAATCCTCCTCCAAAAGTTGTCTAACTACATCGGATAAGTGACTGTGATAATCATTCCATTTGAAACAATAGCTCTGATTAATTTCATGTTGAGCAACAACTTCAGACATGCTGTTTCAGTTTCGTTTCCTTCCCCAATTTTCAACAATGCATATACACAACCGGAATTTGGAACGGGACTGAATTCTTCGTAACTTAGATGCGACAACTCGTTGCTAAAACGTATCGTTGTATTTTTCAAGAGTTCTGACAGATTTCGTATTTACTCCGCTAACGTTATTCCACCCCTGTGCTTAAATGTTAATAAATCATATTGATGAATGTTTACCAATTAATTTTGAAAAAATGTCAGTTTCCCCCCCCCCCCCCCCCCGTTTTAGACAAAGAGAGGAAGTGGCGAGTGAGCAAGAGAGCACAACCACGAGTGGAACAAGTCACACCGTCGACCAATCTAGCTTGTCTCACTTTACCATGCATCGACATTCGCACTTCTGGAGTGAATAAGGATGAACTGAGTGGGGATAATGGTGGGGATAAAAGCGCTTGGAAAAGAGAGGTCCAGTCCGATCGTCCGGCCAAATCTTTCTATCAATTTGTACGTTCGTGTCCTTTCACCGCTTGAGATTTTTGTGACTGAATGTTAATCTCTTGATCTTTTGTAAACATTTTATTTAATTGTGTACTACACGAGAAGATGGTTAGTCGTTTTACATAATAATAAATGATATCATACATGTTGTCCGATGCCAATAATTTAAACGAACTTATCGTGATTTATTTAAACATGTGACAGTATAACCTCGATGACGTTAAATCATCGTTAACGATGTAAACCTTGTCGACATACAGATTTAAATTGTTTTAAAGCGCATTTGATTTTATAAAGGTTCGATCGCTATTCTGATGTTCAATGAATTTGCTTCGTAATATATATATAATATCATTTGTGAAAGATACTGTCGTGTTTAACAGCTTTTCATGGTTATGTTAATCTAACCAAAATGTAAATAAATCGTTCATTGTATTCCAGAAACCTTTGATGTTACACGGGCACGAGCGTGCCATCACAAAAATCAAATACAACAGGGAAGGAGACTTGTTATTTTCGTCAAGTAAAGACAAAAAGCCAAATGTTTGGTATTCTTTGAATGGAGAACGTCTTGGAACTTTTAATGGTCACAATGGATCCGTATGGTGTATCGATGTTAATTGGGACACGAGTAGATTTATATCTGGCAGCGGTGACAATACACTGAGAGTTTGGGACTGTCAAACTGGTTTGTATATTGCGTTAAGTAAAAGAAAAGTTGATTCGAATGAAAATGATATTTGATTTTTTACTACATTTTGTAATTTACTTTTAGGCAAAGAAATCGGTCAACTCCAAACGAACAGTTCAGTAAGGACATGTAACTTCAGTTATTCGGCAGACCTTGCTGTCTATTCTACAGACAAAGCTCTCGGTCACCAGTGCGAGATGTTCATCATAGATATCAGAAATGTTGATGGAGCATTGTCACAAGAAGATGCAATTTCTAGAATTTCTGTTAATGGTCCTAGAATCTCTGCCATTTTATGGGGTGCTTTAGACGAAACAATTATTACCGGTCACGAAGATGGCGAAATCACTCTTTGGGATATGAGAGTAAGTAATATTAAAAAATATTTTATAACATTTCCAGCACTACCTGCTTCATTTTTATAGACAAGGAAGAAGTTGAACAGTGTTTCGAGTCACAAGGCTCAAATTAATGATATGCAGTTCAACAAGGATGGCACGATGTTTGTAACCGCATCCAAAGACAACACCGCAAAATTGTTCGATAGCGAATCGTTAATGTTACTGAAGACGTACAAAACAGAAAGACCTGTAAACTCTGCCACAATTTCTCCTATTTTCGATCATGTATGTTCGTACTTAATCACGACACTCGCAAGATCATATTTCTGATCATTAATGAGGATTACGTTTTCTACAGGTGGTTCTTGGAGGTGGTCAAGACGCTATGGATGTAACAACAACGTCCACTCGTCAAGGAAAATTCGATTCGCGATTTTACCATTTAGTATTCGAAGAAGAATTCGCGCGTTTGAAGGGTCACTTTGGTCCGATCAATTCTCTTGCATTCCATCCAAATGGTCGCAGCTTTTCAACAGGAGGAGAGGATGGCTATGTTCGTATTAACACGTTCGATCAATCGTACTTCGATTTTCATTTTGAATACTAATTATTAAAAAAAGTGGAAAAGTAAATATGTATCATGTCATGTTGTATATGTTAATAAAAGCATTCGGCCATTTTATGTAAATTTATTTTATCAACTTATAGAAAAATGTTCATACATATATATCACTGAAATATTATATTTATCACGTTTATGCGCGAGGTAGTACCGGAAATATATTTAAGACACAAAGACAAAGTTCATTAGAAGTAACTTATAATAATTCTATTCTAAAAGTCAATGAGACTGCGTAAAAAAATATTACGTCTTATACTTGAATTCCATCTTTACCAAGTATTGTATCTTTACCTGAGCAACATCGTATACAATGTATTCATTGTACAACAAAGACGATTTCTTAGAAAGCTTCGTGGTCATGGCTGTACCGCATGGAATTTCAACGCCATCGTTTGTCTTATGCGACTTTTCAGGATCGGGTTGGGTTTGACCACGACCAAACGTGGAATGTTTACCGCTTGGTAACTTCTCAATGAAATCGGCCGCGTATCTTTCATACATATTACCCAACGCGACTTCACAAAGCAGCAACAACCCGGTGTTATTCTGGCTGTTCGTGCAACAGTAGTTGGCGGACTTCGACACCATATCCGCGAAGTATATACCTTTACCAAACATGTAACCGGTAACAGGTGCTTCGGGAGGAGCTTTTCTCAAACCCTGAGAAAGTATACCAGCAAAGTTAGTTGTTCTGGAACCATGCCACAACAGCTTCTTATTTGGCAGCTTTTTAAACGGCTTGTATCTACTATCCTCTCCTTGTCTCTTAACAGTAAATACATCTTCGATATTGAGGTCATACTGGTCGTGAGTCGCAGCATGAGTGTTCTTAACGTACTCTTCGATGAGCTTGTATTCTTCGCCCTCCTTATCCAGTACTTTGATATCTGCATTTAATTGTTTGTAATGAGCGTCAAGTGGATTCTTCGACGAATCTACCTTAGAATGCAGAAGCGAGTAAGCAATTTCCATCTCTAGTAATGCATCCAGCATGTCACATTTTGCACGGATCTCTTCGGGATTATCCAAGATCTTTGGTCCGGACACTCCAAAGTTATGAGGTATTAAATTATAAAATCTATTAGAAGCGTCTATTAAAGTAATTCGCTCAACGTTGTCGTTCTTCAATAGCTTCTGCAGATCTGTTAACACAGTGTACGCCTTTTGTATTTGCTTTTTAGTTATCTTTCCAAGCGGCATCTTCTCCGTGTCGATTTCGAACTCCGCCATTACTTTCTTCATAGTCGATTCATCGAATAACATTCTTATTAAATCTTGAACTGGTTTCTCTAGTTCGCTCTTAATATCAGACTCTAGTAACTGAACGGGAACGTCCTCGCCATGATCAATGTCGACTGGATACATCTTATGAGGCACTTTAACAAAGTGTTCCCTTTGACTCCAAACATTTCCAGTTTTTTCCTCGTACAGATTCTCAAACTGTTCTATACATTCTTCTAGCATTAATTTCTCTAATTTTGTACCACCGATCGTTGTGCCTATTCTGCCCCAACTTCTGAACAACCAATACTTCTTCTGTTTATCGTGCTCTAAAACCTGTAACTTGTAATAACTATTCTTTTGAGTTTGTATGTCTGTAAGTACAAGCGTGACAGTGTACTTGTTTTTACCCTTCTGATACACGTGAGCTACATCTTGCAGTTCACTATCCGGGTCAACAGTTCCTCCATCTTTCAGTTGTAATTTCATTTTTCCAGATCCGGACTTTTCGAAGGAACTTTTACTCTTGCTTTTCGCAGCGGACTTCTCCGCTACAACATTAATTCTACTGGACAAATCACCACCCCAACTGGAAATGGTTTTCTTTTTAATTAGCGGGAGAGCAGGCTTTGTATATTCTTTAGCCTCGTCAATAAAATCTTCGGTAATAACTTGAATATCAAGACTCTGGGCTTCTTCCATTTTCGCACTCATTTTGTCGATCTCCTTTTGAGTCGATATCACAGCAGTGACGTTTTCGTGAAGCTTCGCACTCACCTCTCCTCCCAAGTGGATGATTTCTTTCTTCAAATCGGCTTTATCTCTCCCTGTACGACCTATGATAAAGAATTGCATGTGCTTCAATGGTTTTGGCTTTGATTGAACTTTTGGTCCAGAGTCAACTTCATCTTCTTTTTTTATTGAAGTAGACGTTGATGGCGCAGTCACTTTTATCAATCTTCTGTTGACTTTGCTCTTCAAGGATTTACTATGAAATATTTAACAAATAATTAATTATTTTGTCGTCATGTTTGTTAATACTACATGTACTAATATCATAAATTAATGCCGACCAAAACTACTTACAGCTCGGGGTATTGTTGCTTCAAGTTCGACGGTATCGATATCTTTTTTCTCTTGGGGTCTTGAGTTACGTGCTCGCATTTAGCCCATTCCGTTACATCTCCAGTGCATTTATATCCAAGACCCGAAGTGTACACAAGTTGCCCACTGCATTTCGAGCATGGCTTCAGAGCACCAAAGCAAATTGTATCGCTCAATCGGTCCAGCAACTTTGATAAAAAAAATTTAAAAATCATTTACAAGCTTATTTAAAATTGTAGACAATTTATTACTTACAGCTGTCATTCCTTCTGGAATCTGTTGTTCATTCTTTTCCAATATAGCAATAATATCGTTCTTTTTTAGCGAAGATAACATATCCCTAATTTTAAATAATTCTTTATTCTGCTTCTCCATTTCATGCTCTTCTTGCATATCTTGTGGTTCCTCTTTCATTTTCTTAACCGATGGAATATCGCTTGACTTAAGTTTTGGTAAATCTGCTTTGACCTTTTTCTGATCATCTTTGGAGAGATCTTTCCAGCCAGGCAGATCTCCGCCACTTTCATGAAACTCCAGCTCTTGCCTTATTTTCACAAAGCATTCAAAATGATACCATCTGTCGATACCACCATATTTTCTACCATGTTCGCTTTCGAAATCTTTTTTAGACACCCTAATCTCACCTTGCACTATTTTCTCTTCACAGCCTTTGCAAGTCGACTTACTAGATTTTGCATATTGAACCAAAAAGTCTTTTACAACACCTCCATCGTTTGCTGTGCTGGCTCGTTTTCTTCCTTTTCCAGCAGGCAATGGTGGAAGCAGACTTGCTTCCTCTATTTTGAATGAAAATAACTTTGCATTAGTTGATACGATTATCGAAAACTTTTTCCTAATGATAGACAAAAATATTCGTTTGATGTAAACTTTGATATCGTTAATAAGACTAAAAAACGCCATTAATAATTAGTAATTATTATGACTCTGTGCAAACTATTTTATCATATATTAAATTCTATTTAGAATGTATGAAACTACAAACCAATCTTTTTTTTAACATCTTGTTGATCATCCCAGCGAATATTGTCAAAATTAGCTATGTCCGCAACAGTTTTAGGTCTCTGTTTCAAGAAGAAACAAGTAGAATGATACCATTTTGGTATTTTTCCATCGTGAACAGGACTCTAAAAATTAAACAACAATCTGCATTTTAATAAATAATTAATCAAATTAGTAAATAAAAGTAATAATACTTAAAATCCATGGAAAATGCAGTTTAAAGTACATATACAGAACAAAGGAAAAGAACAATTACGAGTAATTAAATAAAATTGATAATCGATGATCGTGTAAAATGCAACACCACATACATAATCGAAACAAAGACAAAAAGCGAATGAGCGTAACCTAATAAACGAGGAAATCGATCCTCATAAATACGTAGCATCATGCATGCGCTAATTCTGGTTATTGATACTAATGCTGCTCAAACCATTAAAAATAACAAATAATGTTCAGTTAAGAACGTATTACAGATTAAAAAAATCTGTTGCCGGCAACAATAATGATGTATCAATGGGACAAATATCTAATACATGTTACAAAATGCCTACCTGTACAACGGTAGCAAGTCTCAGTGAATCCTTTAGAATAGATTTCTTACAACTTTGACACGAGGCGCGAGAGCTTTTCGCATATTCAATACAATACGGCAAATCAGGATTCATCGTTTCAGGATCTCCTTCTTCGACGGTGAAATTCAACTTCGAAAATGAAACCCCGGAATCGGAAGCTCCCTGCCTCCTAGATCCACTCAGACCCTAGTAGTTCACAATTACAATTGCAGAGATGCAATGATGTAGGATGTAAGTGTACAATAGTGGTGCAGCACGATTACCCGCCAAATCTCGAAACGTTCGGAAACTGCACTGCACAGAATTTACATTGTGCATGCAACAAAATGTATGTAATTTTAATTTTATGAGAAATATATAGTTTACCGAGAATATAAAAATATTTTATATATATAAAGCGTTTAGATAATAATTTGCGAATAATAAGCGGAAATGTTGTCACCGGAAGTGCAATTCAATTTTAAGAAAATTTGAAATTTCTTTCATTGTAACTTTGTTATTAGGCATTTGTTGTTGAAAAATAGAATTAATTTTGAAATATGATGAATTTATCTGTTGTTCCAATGAATAATAATAATTATATTAGTAACAGTGTGATAATAGTAATAAAAATATAAAAAAACAGCGAATAGTCAGATAGCCAGAATGCAAACGCCATTCTTTGTCTGATTGAAAATATAAAAAAAAGCAATAATTAATTTTTATATTACATGTATGATTGAAAGCAAACGAATACAATACATATTCAATAATGAGAGTAATAATGGCCGCTTGAGCACAGCTTAGCATTGGCAGCGCTACTTTTAAATTCATTCTGAAGCGAGAAATGTATTATTAAATTCTATCATTTTAAGATCTTGATCCAATAATAAATAATACCAATTTGATATCGTCGAGAGAAGATCCTGCGGTAGGTGTTTCAGGCATCTTCGAATAAATCTCACAGTGTAATACAATGTTGGTACACTTTATTTTAATAATCATATAATATTGTACAAATTATTACAGTAAACTATATATTTCTGTAATTACGTTTATGAATGTTTCTCTGTTTTACCAACATGGCTTGCCATGAAAGTTGCTGGCAAGTAGTATAATTAAATAATACAGCCGTATAGTGCAAAAACGCACTATTATTTCCTTTATCGAATGCGGTACTTGGTACTTTTTCCCTCTAAAATTATCGTCTACAATAAACGTACAAAACTTATCGAGAACGAATCGAAAATTATTAAATTAAACCTGTTTACTTTTCTTTTCAACTATCTACATATTGGTATAAGCCTATTATCAATCCAGAGTGCATACAAGAAGATAAGTAACCGTCTCTTCTTATACCACGCTATCGCTATGCTATAATAGTTTTACATATTTATATATATAATATTCTGTTGGATATTATATATATACATATATAAATATGTATATACGTGTCGCGACGTGTGTTAACAATGTTCCATGATAAATTGCATTGTTTCATTCTTTTTTTTTTCTTTTCAACAGAAAAAATGTATACACATTATGTGTGCCATCCTATTTTATTGATATAATCGTTTATATTATATTCTATATTAATGTACATTTTTGTTCTTATAAAAGCGCAAAAATAAAACTGAATGCTTTTATTACAATACTTGCCATCGAAGGTTGTAACTTATAGAAATAGATACAATTTACAACTCGAAAGGTCTTTGACATTATAACTTATTTTCATACACGCAACTTCCACGAAACGTTTACAAATTAAGCAACGATTCGCCGAGTCCCACGTTCGTCGCTTCAAGGAGAAAAAATACGATGGCGAAATTAGAAAAAAAAAAAAGAGAAAAAAAGTAAGTGTACACATGATAGAAAAGATTGCAGTGCGGTATTATTACAATACCAAATATGTATACCGCGCGCGGGACAGTCTAGGGCACTCTGGTTAATTAGTACAATTTGTTATTTCGTATATCGTTCAGAAATTGCTCTCCGCAAACATGTTGCGTTGACGTATCGATTATGTAAGAGTAAGGACAGTGTTTTATCATTCCATTGCCCTACGCAATCGTATTAGCATTAATAACAAAATATAATTAATTCAAATATATTTATCTTAGAAAATGAATTTTATATTATAGTGAATTTTCTATTTAAAGAGTGATTCGCAGTATGACATGTGAGTGTCGCATAAAATGTAAATACACTTAGTATTTATAAGGTTTTTTTTTCTCATAGGCGTGTATAGGTCAGGAGAGTATGCAGCTCTAGGATTAACCAAGGAATTAGACTGAAGGCCACCCTTTAATATTTTTACAGTCTATTTTATGTATGTCCGATAACAACAATAAAAATTCTTAAATAAATATATCGGTATAATCATTGATGGAATATTATTACGCAATCAACTAGTTGTTTTTTTTTGTNTATATATATACATATATAAATATGTATATACGTGTCGCGACGTGTGTTAACAATGTTCCATGATAAATTGCATTGTTTCATTCTTTTTTTTTTCTTTTCAACAGAAAAAATGTATACACATTATGTGTGCCATCCTATTTTATTGATATAATCGTTTATATTATATTCTATATTAATGTACATTTTTGTTCTTATAAAAGCGCAAAAATAAAACTGAATGCTTTTATTACAATACTTGCCATCGAAGGTTGTAACTTATAGAAATAGATACAATTTACAACTCGAAAGGTCTTTGACATTATAACTTATTTTCATACACGCAACTTCCACGAAACGTTTACAAATTAAGCAACGATTCGCCGAGTCCCACGTTCGTCGCTTCAAGGAGAAAAAATACGATGGCGAAATTAGAAAAAAAAAAAAGAGAAAAAAAGTAAGTGTACACATGATAGAAAAGATTGCAGTGCGGTATTATTACAATACCAAATATGTATACCGCGCGCGGGACAGTCTAGGGCACTCTGGTTAATTAGTACAATTTGTTATTTCGTATATCGTTCAGAAATTGCTCTCCGCAAACATGTTGCGTTGACGTATCGATTATGTAAGAGTAAGGACAGTGTTTTATCATTCCATTGCCCTACGCAATCGTATTAGCATTAATAACAAAATATAATTAATTCAAATATATTTATCTTAGAAAATGAATTTTATATTATAGTGAATTTTCTATTTAAAGAGTGATTCGCAGTATGACATGTGAGTGTCGCATAAAATGTAAATACACTTAGTATTTATAAGGTTTTTTTTTCTCATAGGCGTGTATAGGTCAGGAGAGTATGCAGCTCTAGGATTAACCAAGGAATTAGACTGAAGGCCACCCTTTAATATTTTTACAGTCTATTTTATGTATGTCCGATAACAACAATAAAAATTCTTAAATAAATATATCGGTATAATCATTGATGGAATATTATTACGCAATCAACTAGTTGTTTTTTTTTGTTTCTGCCAAGAATTGTAGTTTTACGTGTGTGTTTCATTTTTTTTTTGTTTCGTTTCTTTGTTTGTTTGTTTGTAATTGCGTCTTAAGCAATAATATGCATACACATGTACACGGCACGTCAGTCACTGTGTACTACAATGACCGGTATGGAGTACCACAAAATTGTTACGTGAAATTCAGTAAGACAAGACACATGTATCACTCTGCTGATCATTGCTATTTTCCTCTGCCTTGAGATGTACCCGACCTGGTTGTAGGTTTTGCTGGTTGTGGAATAATTGTGATCTCGTCATTGATCTTCAATGGTTTCAGAAGGGAATCATTGGATCTGGACGATGGAGATGAAGGTGTGTTCTTCTTATCCATTACTCTCTTAGCTACGACACTATGTGCCGAGTAAACATGATTCTCGAACTGCTTATACATTCCAAACGTGGCAGTGCAAACTGTACATTTATAAGATAGATGCGCAGGTTTTAGAGTCATTCCGTGGTCTCGCGCGACATGATTTAGTAATTTCCACTGATATACCTAAAAAAATCAAGATTCACAGCTCTCAGGTGTTATGTTGTTCTCATCATTCCCAATCTCTGGCATGCACAATTTCGAATCTACTATCGCTATGAATGGGATCAACTTACCCTGCCACAGGCGGGACAGCGACCTGCATCCTTTCCTTTATTTGCAGCTTCCTGCATACTCGACGTAACCAATCCATGCGACCCAAGTAAGTGTCTTTCTAGACCCTGTAAGTAATCAGATACGACACTGTTATAGATTCGTTACAAATATATAAATAACTTGAGAAAGAAAGCGTTTCCTTCAAACAGAACACAATGTTTTCATTACATTTATTAATTTAAAAAGGAAACTGAATAATAGAATTTAAGAAAACTCTCGCAATTGAATGATATAGTTTTGTATATAATATTGAAAACATTTAAACACGTTTAAAAGAAGCAACACAACTTTAACGCCCCAATTTTTTCAGACGCTTTTTAAATCATATTGAAAATTAAATAATTCCAGATTTTACAATTTCAATGCAATTATTATTTGCTATTCATATTAGAATGATGTAGATGTGTACCTGATCTGTGAAAAATCGGAACTGACACTTTTGGCAGTTCAAAGGAGGTCTATTGTAAATCATCTTTGGATGTATTTTTACTTTGTGGATCCATTGCATGTGATTACGTAGTTGTTCTAAATCCTAAAAGAAGAAGTTTAAGAGAACAGGTTTAATATTTTTGGTGCAACAATTACAATATCTATGTCGGAAAAAATCCGCAACAGATTAATACAATTTACCTTAATATAACCATCGCAAATCTCGCATATAACAAATGTGGTCTTTCCTCCTGACTTCGATGAGGTTCCGGAACCAGGAATAGAAGACTGAGATGTTGTACGTGGTAATGGCGTTATAGATATACTTGGTTGACTTAACAACTTTGCCGTAGGATTTTTAGGACTGGACGTTGTGTTCTGGAAAATATAAAATATAGTTTTTACTTAAACCGCGACCGTAGATAAGACATTTTTCTTTATAAGATATTAAATTATATTAATTAGTGTCCACTTAAAAGATTACATAACGTAAATTGAAATTTCTTCTACTTTACACAATTTGTTATTGACACAAAATATAGTTCATTTTTGTACACGACAACGAAAATGTGCAATTTTTGAAAAGTAAATGCTGCGCTCGATCTTTAGCAATAGAAGTTTCTATAAACATTAAAATAAGTGGACATGTTTATAAATGTTGTATAGTGTTTGATTTCCAAATTTATTTACAATTTATTAATGTAAACGCAATAATTAATTTCTTCGAAACGCTGATAAGAGTGATGATGTGAAAATGGTTGTAATATTTTTACGAGTTGCAAATCAATTCCTCACAAAGAAAATCGAACAGTCTCTTCTAATTTATATAGAATTTACATATGACATAAAAAACGAAAAAAAACATTTCAGATGTATTTCTTTTAGCGACTATTATTCATATTCGAGATGCCCGTTTTTGAGGACTAGTTTCATCCCCTGAATATGATTAATAAGTTTAATATGATATGTAAGTTCCATCAAATTCGGAGAGGGCTGCTCTTAGTTAACAACCCTTGTTAATGTGAAATTGTATTTTCATAACGCAACATACTACTGAGACAAAAATACATTGCTGAAACCAATAACGGCATAACTAGTTGCATCGCACACTAATGATATGTAGCTATGATCTCAAAAATATTGTTAAGTCCTATAAGCAATTATATGTAGCTGTAATTATAAAGGATTCAGAGAGATTTGTTATAAAAGCCTTTGCACCTGCAGAACACATCATCCATGCGATCACAAAATCAATGTAACCTTCCTTGGTGGTTTCCAACATTTATTTACCTGTGATGCGGACAACCTAGAGAGAGAGTCGATTACGTTGGGTACAAGTGCAATGGGTGTGGGTTGACCGGAACTGCCGCCGCTACTGCTACTCACTCCCGAGACAGCCGACATGACAGTCCCAGAGCCACCCACCACCTGCCACCACCCATATATTCTTTTTACTAATTCTTAAACTTTTTTTCTTGTTTACTTGAATTTTGTGAACCTGTATCTCTTACGTGTATTCTGATTAAATTATTTAAAAAAAAAAAAAAGAAAAGAAGAGAACTACGTCGATTCTAAAGCAGACCAAGATTACTGCACACATCTTGGGAAAGAAATGGACACCCAACAGTTTCAGTAAGTAACAATACACGACTATACAAAAAAATAAAATACTCAAAATAAACCTAGATTACACTTATTGAAACACTGTAATTTATCTTTATATAATTTTTAGAAATCTTAAAGGAACATTAAAGCATAGATACACTATGCATATCACGCATGTGCTGCTATACATAACTACTAAAATACGAGATTTTAAGGGCATGACTTCACAAAATTATCATTGCCCAAGCTAAATTTATGATGTTACTAGAAAGTAATTTGAATGGTTTTTTTTCTATGTTTGATGTGAAGGACATTGTATAGAATAAATTTTACCTGGAATATCTGGTTACTACCAAATTGGTATGAAGTAGGTACCAATAAACCAGAAGAGGTTGGACGATACATCATTCCTGCCACATTATCTGAAACAAGTAGTACCCGCTCTTGTAATAACGTTCGCAAAAGCCAACAGGAAATTATTTTAACATTCGATTATTCAATATTAAATAGTTACCTTGCCGCATTTGTGTTCCTCCCGGTCGTAATGTCTTCATATCTGAATATCTGGGCTGCATCGGTGGTCGTCCTCTTCCACGACCAGTGATCGGGGCAGGAAGTAATTTCGGTAGAAGTGGTTGTGGTCCTTTACCGCCCATTGCCATAGCAGCAAGTGCGCTGGGATTAGTGGGTCCAGGGGCTCTTGCACGGTTCAATCTTGGAATCTTTGCCGGTGGTTCCCAATCTGCGGCTGGTTCCAAATTCTTCTCTGGTCTGAATTTTTTCGTGCAAGCAAGTATGTGCCGAGTTAGTTTGCCTTTCTGATTGTCTTCGAACGGACAATTCGGGCATTGATGGAAGGCTGGACCACGCTCCAGCCTACCACGAGTATTATGTTCCGCTTCCATATGAAATAAGATATCATGAGGACTACGCACCTCGATCGGACAAAAGTTACATTTGTAAACGTAATTGCGCATATGCGGAGTCTCTAAATGATGCTGCATGACTAAGGTCGATTCTGTTTTAAAACTACAGAACTCACATTTTTTCAGTTCTAAGTGGAATGGTTCGTTATTTTCTTTACTAAATTCTAGGTTCTTGATGAGTGAATTTATAGCTATTTGAGTTTCGGCAGATGTGCTACCTTTGCCTTGTTTACGCTTTTGAGTCCGTAAAAGATCCGTTTGCACGTATTCTTGAACAAGATTCACTCCGATCTGCATGAAAAATTTGCCCAATGGTAAGTCAAAGTATGTCAGTACTTTATTTCTATCGTCTTGCCTTATGTCCTGTTTGTCACCTAAATTACTAAATCCAGATTCAGTTAGATCTACCGAATTGTCACCTCCTCTGATATCCTCTACGTCTCTTTTGCTCTTGGAGCTACCTTCGCTTTCGCTTTCATCGCCTTTGTCTTTATTTTTTTGACTCATATCTTCCAAGTCGTCGTTGCCTTCATCTCCTTTATTTTCTTCGCTTTTTTTGCTCTGTTCTTCCTTTTCTTTCTCCTCTAAGCATTGTTCTAGTTTTGTGACGAAATCTTTTAATGGTTTCAGCGGTGGCTTTTCATATACATACGGTACTATAAAAGATGGTGCTTCCACGACGAACATATCGTCGGTTAATGTGGGTAATATAGGAGGAACAGTAGGTGTTACTGTAGTCATACTGCTCGTCTTGGGACTTAATTGTGCCGCTTTTGACGTCATGGGTACTGGTGTAATGGTTGTTCTCATGTTGGGATACATTGTTTGCGTTGTCATGCCCATGGGAACAACTGAAAAAGAACTAGAACTAGAGACAGAGTGATGTGGCTTACTGCTACTCACAGGAACACCACCGCGTCCAGATAGGATAGAATTCGTGTCTATAATAACTAAGGTGGGTTCTTTTTTTCCTCCTTTCACCGACTTACTACCAGCGGCGATCTCCACCAAACGTTTGGTATCGTTTACTACGATAGTAGTTTTACTGTTTTTGACCGGTGACTTTAGCTTCGAATTCTCTTTGTCTTTTCCATCGATACCAGCCAATGGATCTTCAGGCTTGATTTCTTCTATATCAGAACCATCGTCGTCTACGTCTTCTTCTATTTCTTTCTCTATGTAACTTGTCCTCTTTATATTACGAGAACTTCTTCTTGGTGTAATACTACTAAGGTCTACTTGTTTTCGTGGCTTCCGTTGCTTCGTGGGATCTTTATTGGCCCGCTCCGGCGAAGTATTGTGACCGTTTTTCGTGCCGTCGGTTATCTCCTCTATGTCTGGACTCTCGCAGCTTCCGTTCTCCTCGCATATCTTCACGTCGGATGTATCCATGGTACTGTCAGTAACTTCGCCACTGTCGTTAATCTGTTGTAAATCACTGCTGCCTGATAAATTCTGGTTATCCTTGTGGGCAGAGTTTTTCATAGTGAACACATTGTCAGTATCAAATTGTATTTCAGTTATGCTCTCATCCAGGCATTCAACATCTGAGTTATTACTCTGTTCATCGATTTCCATAGCCTCACAAGATGTGTTTTTACACTTATCATCAGTTTTAGACACTTCACTAGTATTGTTCGTCTCACTGACACCCTCGGATGTTTTAGTTACATTAGAGTCATTCCTGGACTCTAACATTTCACCCCCTTTACTCCTACTTTCCATTATACTATCTTGCTCACTGTCTTCGGATTCTACTTCCCCATCTTCGATTTCAACTTCCATTCTACGTTCGTCTTCGTCATCTTCTTCTTCATTTTCCTCCCCCTCCTCTTTTGTCGCATCATTGGTTTCTTTTGACAGATCAGATGCATTTTCCGTATCAACGAATCCCTCATTGTCATTATAATTTCCATTAACTCCATTTGGTATCACAACATCTGTAAACCATAAAAAAATGTGTTTAGTTGAATAATCTTCGCTGTCAAACGTACAATGTAACTTGTTATTTCTAAGAGGTATTTCTATCAGGTATTAGAGAAATACCTGTCTTTTTGAAAAAATTTGAGGAAGTTACAAAAAATGGAAAAATATGAAGAAATTAGAAAATATTAATCTATAAAATATGCTAGTTCCTGTTAAATAATCACACGTTATTATAGTACAATTCAGAAACACCGAGTATATAGATGTCGAACAAGTAACATCCAGCTTCGTGACATATAGACGATTAGATCGGACTAACTGTCACGAGCTACTTAAAACAATTTTGTTAATAAACAACCGAAAGGACAATGTATCATTCTTGAGCAACAATATCAGAATGTGTAGCCTAAGCGGTAAATAAGTATCATGGACAATAGAGAAGAAAAATTGATTAAGTAGTTACAAGCAAGAGGGAGAAAGAGAGAGAAAAAGAGAGAGAGAGAGAGAGAGAGAGAGAGAGAGAGAGAGAGAAAGAGTGTTAGGGAGACAGAGAGAAAGAGAGAGAGAGAGCATACCTTTGAGAACCTTATCAGGACTGGCCTGAGATGAGTCCTTAACAGGGGGTTCTTCCAACGTGCCTTCCATGGGGCCACCACTGTACAGTTGATCTAAACAATTAATAAGAACACAGGAATAAGCAGTCCGTGGCAACGACGCGTTTCATTACATCCACACGACGTGAACGCGAGGGCGGGGGAGAGGGAGGGAATTTTTAGCGGGGCCGAATTTTTCAAAATGGCGCTGCGAATTCCGTACTCCTATTTCCTTGTTCCCATAACCAACAAAATTGGTAGTTGGGTAGGTGTCGGTTTCCAGTCGGCGCGTCGCGTTGCCGAGATTTCCGCGCGGTCCGGCCGAAAAATCGTGCTCGTTCACGCGACACAAACGATTTAGGAGGACAAGGGAGTCACCCGTGGTTGCCGTTGATAGAAACGATCAGACGAGGAGAGTCCTGTGAAGTAGCTTGAATGGTTAGCGTCTCCTCAGTCAGTCACCTGCACTCGCCAGCCACCGCGTCCGAGCGCCAGCCAGCCAGCCAGCCAGCCAGTCAGTCAGCCCTCCGCGTACCTCTCCTCTCAACCTTCACAGCAAACCTACCAACCTACACCTATACCTACACGACTTACATATCAAGCTCTCGTCTCTTTCGTATATACACACGTATACCTATGTACATATGTATATATATATATATATATATATATATATGTTCGCTTCGCAGATTCGCAGCGAACCTACCAACCTACACATATATACCTACGGCTCACACACATTGAGCTCTCTCGTCTTCTTCTCTCTCTCTCTCTCTCTCTCTCTCCCTCTCTCTCTCTTTCTCTCCCTCTCGTGTGTACACACGTATACCCATGTACATATCTCTATGTACCAACAAACATACACAGACGCGTATATCTATGTACACGACCAGCCAGAGACCCATCAACTCACCATCCACTAGCGCGCGCGCGCGAGCGCACAACCTTCCTAACTCTATACTACATGCCGGACGGGACAACACGCCAACCACCTACGGAACAACCCTATGACCTACCAAATCCGATCATGACATACTGATCTCCCACGACGGTATTATACGAGAGACGTTCTCAAAGTTCTAGGAATTCTAGTCGGATGTGTAATCTGCATTCGTGGATGAAACATATGCGTGCACAAACAAGACGCGATTAGATACATCGGTTATTCAATTTGGTCCAGTCGTTTGCTAGATACGTTTCTGCAAAGTTGCGAACGTTTCGAGACCAAGGGGACGCGGTCGATTTAGAAAGGGCAATCGTCGAAACCGAATTTTAGCGTATCTGCCACGAGAGTCGCTACCCATTTAACGCCTAGTGATACCACCCATTCAGAGAAATAAAAAAAACCATTTGGTGGCTCGAGGATTTCTACACGATACTTCGGAAAAGTTCTGCGATTGAACTGTTCAAAAAAAACTTGTCCCTCGTCGGAAGAAACGCGTACATACTTCTTTAACGATGATAGAAAAACGTAGCATCAATTTCAAGGACGAATACAGATTCGAATCCCTGGAACTTCGGGAACATCCCTTGTACATTTAAACCGCGTTTTCTATGAAAACTAGTCGACGATTAAGCGTCGGAAGGCTCTGAAAAACCAATTTAACCACCGATGAACGTTCGAACGGAGATTCTCCGTGCGGGACGAAGAAGGAACTAGATGAACGCGGACCATTTTGTTAGATTATCTGTAGAGGAGGCCCATCCGTGGCAACGTTCGTGTCCGAAGATATTCGATGAAACATTGCTTTGTTAGCTGAGATTGCCGGAGATGCTAGTCTGGCATGAGGACGTCGAAGAATAAAGATGAAAAGTCTGTCTACGGGTTCGCTCGAAGGACACGAAGCGATCTTAAAAAAGATGCCGAGCACACTTTTAACCTAGACCGACGATCGGCCCGATGCAACGTGCATCGCGCTCGAGGCGACGATAATCACGCCTGCTCGAAAAATAATGATAAGGGAACGCGACGAGACGTTCGATGGATCGACGATCCGGATCCGGGATACATTGGAGAAACCCCATTCGGTATGCTCGGTTCAGGGCATGTCTCGTGCTACTTAACTCGCTATTCACGGATCCCGGCGGTTCTTCTACGAAGCAATGGAACGCGTAAGAACTCCATCCATGTATCCTGTCACCAGGCACTGATATACGCACCTGGCCGTTTGCTCTCCTAAACAATTCTCTGATACCGTGACATTTTCACAAGCTGCGATCCTCGAGGGCAGCGGCGAAGCTACGATTCGTCCTTATACGCACGATGCACGATTTATTCACAAAACCTGTAAATAGTGAACATTCATCGCTGAATATTAGGCACCAGAGGGCAGGAGCGACGTTGGAAACGTTAAAAAGTTATGCCCAGGGCCGTCGCAACGTTGCGGGGCTCCTCTCGGCGAGGGTTAAGTAGAAACCAAACGGATAGAAAGGGTCGCGACGAAGAGACTGGGCACGTTCTCACGATTTCTCTGTGTCTATTTAATCGGCGTCACACTTTTAACCACGGCAATAACCCGTTGTTCGTGTGTCCGCATTAATTAGTTTACAGACGCGAATTGTTTTCGGAAGATCATGGAACCCCCTTATGGTTTTTGCTAACGTCCATTGGTCGATTAGAATCCCCATCACTCGAAACGATGGTCAAACAACGATATTGATTAAGTGCTTTTGATATTGAACGCTTCCGTTCTTTCTCCTTTTCTTTTTATTCGTTTATAAGTATATATACATATATACACATGTGTGTGTATATATATACATACACACATTATATATATACACGCGTGTATGTATACATATGTATGTATGTATATATATATATATATGTATACACAATTTTGAGGCGATTGCGATGTACGATAGTTGCAGGAGACGATCGAAATACTATGTTGTTCGTCTAGGAACGAGAATTACGGTAAAATGAAAAACAGAACGACTGAACAATCGAATTTATAAATATTATCGTATATTTGCAACGCTTCAGTAATATAATCAACTTAAATGCAACCACGAAACTCGGGATTACACGGATGAAACTCTTTCCTTCCGGTGTAAGAACTCTATTCTGTATTTTGCTGATGACGCGCCTTCCTACGACAAATTACAATGCCCGATGATAACACGTTTCAACGAATGAACACTATTTTCTTGGTTTCCTATCGGAATAAACCTTCGATGCGATTTCATCTCCGAACCATCCTATATACCGAGCACAGATAAAGACAATGGCATGCTAAAAACTAGATTCACTTTGATAATTCGAAATCTCGGAAAGATGTCGATGCGATGTTCTAACAAAACGACTACTGTGTTTGCTGTGTTATCCGTTTATTTTTATTCTTCACTGATCGAACGTGAATCGCAAACGTGTCTTATTTATCTTGTATTCGTAGGTAGAGAGTTATAAAAACACTGCAAAAGATTAGTATATGTATATGTGCAGATGTGTACGTTGAAAAGAAACTTCGTTACGATGAAACTGAAGTCTATCCAAAGAGGAGGCGAAGTGTTGGCGCGGGGGTGTGTGGAGAAAGGGGAGGGATGGCGACAGCGGCAAGGGGAATTGAGAGGATAGTCACGGCCCTGATAATATTGTGTTATTCGGTAGCAGAACTGTACAAATCATAAAATCCAACAAATCAATCGTAGGTCCGTTGCCGTGTCGCGCGAACGAATATTACACGCGTACGACGGCGAGGCGGACTGGGGCACACGTGTTTGCTTGCTTATCGAAATTTAGAAAGCTCCCGCCATTTCTTTCGTAAGGGCTGACTTAGGCTGTCGAACAGCTGCCGTGGTGGTCGCTGGCCACGGTCGCTGGCCGATCACGATTATCCCCCCGAGAGAGGACCAATAATCGAAACACACACGCATCGCAAATGCCGCGCTATTTAAATTCACTGACCGTTCGGAGCACCGAGAAATATTCGGCTGCACACGCGACTCCCTCGGCACTCGATACACACAGTTTTTATACCGAAATTCTTCACATATACTTTGTGTTTATTTGGGTTCGACGTCACGGATCCTTCTTACCTCCGTCGTCGAAAACTGCCAAGATGGCGACGATAATCACGTGACCGCAAATTTTATGACGTACGCGTAATGTTAAAGGGACAAAACGACCAGTAGCGTTTGTTATATATTGTCACGTGACCGGGTACACGTGCACATCCAATGGGAGACCCTCCTAAGAATAAGGGCAATCTGCAATTGTAACAATGTGCAACAACAGGGCTATCTAATGAATCCCCGCCCTTTTTTATGGGCGTCTTCTATAGACACCCCTTCGAACGACCAATGTTCGAACAGAAGGAAATGATTGAAAACTTACAAAAAAATTTTGTTTATATTGCGCTCATTGCATAACACTTGGCATATTTTTTTTTAATGATTGTAGACTACGTGAAACAATGGACCTATTTTGTAATTTCATTTATTTTCGATTTACCGTTCTCCGATTCGTATCAATGTATCGAACAGTTCACGATACACGTAATTATCGTTTCTTATATTTTTCGTCCGTCGATAGTTTATATCGTGAGATTTCAATGTTTATCGAATTCGTTGTGGCCAAAGTTTTTATTTTGTTCTACGGGAACGTAATTTATAATTTATGTACATACATGAATAATATTTACATTCGTTATTCTATCTTGTCGTACAAGTAATTTTATAATTATAAACTTTATGTGCTTTACAGAGTTCTTCTCTCGTATATTTACAAAGGAAATAAATGTCCTTACTCTTAACTTATCCTATGATGTAAAATGTTAAATATCTTAATATTTCAATAACGCTTAGCATATTTATATAGTACTAAAAATCGTCATCGTCATCGTTATCATTAAAAGATAACACCGCTTTCTTTTGCTTCGCTTTTCTCATTTTCTTTTTGACCGGCTTATCTACAGCATCTCCTTCCGTTGAATCCTTTTTCTTTTTAAATACAATTGGCTTAGATAGATCCGCCGGTGCATTCGCATCCTCTGTAATTGAATATGTTATTCGATGCGCAGCAATGCGAACAATTCGTTCGTACCTTTCTCTTTCTTCTTTATGAATGCATCTGCTTCTTCTGCAGTTAAATCACCCGTGCTTAATACAACAACTATGGGTTGCTCTTCCACAGGATCTTCCTTCTCATCGTCCGAAAATTCTGGTAATACTTCTCTCTGTTTTAAGGAGTCATTTAAATGGCTGTTTATGCTAATTATAAACAAGGCTCGATTAAAATATACCCAATTGTTTCGACAGAGTATATTAGGGGCAAGAAGAGTCAAATACATATTGTGACAAATAGTATAACCGGTACAAGTAATATAAGTTTCGTTAACAGCGGTATCCACTACTTATACGTTACAAGTAAATATCAATATTCGTGTCGTTATCGTAGAATTAATTTTAACGTAAAACAATGAAGTATACCTTTGTGTCAATTGTAGGCCCTTCCTTATATCCGACTCGTTCTTTCAGTTCTCGTAAAAATTTTGGTTCGTCCGGTTTAATATAAGAAACGTTATGTTTTTTTCTAGACATTGTTCCTGCTTTCCTTCAAGCAATATTTTTAATAACTAAACATCAAAATATAACCTATACAAAATGCGTTACAAAACAACGTCGAGCAAGAGCATGAACTTAAACGCTAGATAGTTTGAGAAGCGAGAGAGCCATTCGGTGTGACTCGCTAGAATACCATAACTGATTGGTCCATATAAATGGAAATGCTCTAGGAAATTTTCGTTTTTCCCTACACGCATCGTTAACAGCGATTTCCATGAAGCAGCGTAAATTCGTACGAATAAATACATATTATATCGTTTATTTGTATCGTTTATTTCGGTCCTTTGGCCCAGAAATGGACTTGGCTCGCAGATTTACCCATATCAACTTCCAGCCACTTGCCATCAGGATATCAAACATAAATATTCTCCTTCGAAAGTCGTTTTTACCAGGATCCTTTCTTCCATCCGCCTTCCATTCTGTCCTTAACACTTGCCCTTTTAACCGTTGCCTTATGTACGCCTTCCAATATCCGATTTCTTTGCATTCTTACTCTCGGATATGTAAATTCCTCGACTACTTCCACCATCGTCTCTCTCTCCTTTCCATCTCTCGCTATCATTCTCTTCGTTTTATTTGTCGATACGAATAAATAAAAGCTTTAGATTTTCGTAAAAATTCTCGTTTATTTTTGGCTTCTACTTTGCCGTAACGAGGAATTACAGGATGATTACATCGTTTTTAGTTCGAAATAATATACTTTGGTGATCTATTCACTTTACGATAACGATTATTGTATTACTTGTTAACATTTACCACAGCTTAGAACTGTTCTCAACCAATCTCATAATCGACTAACCGTACAAAAATTTAAAAACGAGAAAACCTTCGAACCCACCGCGGGCATCGATATGCCGTGTGCGACACGATCGTCTCGGAAAAAGATTACGAAAAATCATTCGTTGGTCAGGCGATATTCTACGAACGAAATGCACGGAACCAATGACGCGTCTGTAGTTTTCAAAATGGTTTCAAAAAACGTGGTCCGTCCCGGAATCGTTCGGCGGAATGAAACGCTAAATTACAGATCTACTTCGGTACTTAAAAATCCTCTACGCACGTTTCAGCATGGTTTCCGTTGATAAAAAGCTGGATACAAAAGTTGGAACGAGAACCTTTTATCGTCCGTCGTCCGATAGACCGATACGGATAGCTTTAGAAGACGGACGTCTATGACCCGTACAGAGACACGAAACGTATTGCGCCGATAACGTAGAAATCCATCTAAACACGAGGAATACTTGACTGGGCTACGATTTTCGATCGAAAGGGGTCGTGTACGGTCGCGTTCCTTCGGAATCGTTTAGAGCCATTGGCTTCCCATCGGATCGGAATGTCCTCGGGGCGTNGTCACGTTGCTAGTAATCGTGGTCAGCGTATTGTACACTCATCGCACTCATATTTTTCGGGAGAATGTATAACACATTTCATTGTCTCGTCCAAATTGATTGCAGATGATGCATATATTATCGGCTTCGCTTACATTTTACATCATCATCGTTGATATTACGAGAAGATATTTTGGTCCTTTCATCTAGTTTTATATTCTTTTTAATGTTCGTTTTAATTTTCTTGCCTTGTCTTCCTTTTTAGTTCTTTATTTAATTTTTTTTGTTCTTTGTTCATTAAATATTCGCATGTGCGTTATTTATTAAAAGAACTATAGTTCAATACAGCCACACTGCAGGAAAAGTCTGTTAGTTAAAACATAAATCTTACGCTGCGCTAACAAAATATTACACAAGCGACGTGTGAAAACAAAATAGGCGTGTATTCACAGTAGTTCACCAACTTCAGGTGGGGGGGGGGGGGGGGGGTGGTGCGCGGGGGGGGGGGGGGGGGGGGGGGAGATCGTTTTACAGCCGAGTAACCTCGGAATTGTTTAGAGCCCTCAACTTCCCATCGGAATGACTAGATCGGCGATGTCTAACTTGCGCGTGCGTGCTAATAATGTAAGCAGCCTCCTCTTGCCGACCATGTTTCTCGATCTGCACGACGGGCACGCATCTGGGAGTGGGTCCGTCCAGGCACTCGCAACTTAGGCTAGCGTCCAACTCGGTCTGATAAGGGGGCGGTATCAGCAGACTCTCGGTAGACTTTGTCGGCTGGAAATGCCTACCGGAACTACCGGAATACGTGGTGCTGGTGCTCGTTCGTCTCTGAACGGTGCCGGTCGGGGTTTTGGCTCGGCCATGGGATCCTTTACCCGGCCTCTCGGCGCTGTGCGTCTTTATGGTAGCCGTGTCCAAGTACCCGTACCCAAATCCATAACCGCCGAACGCTTTTGTGGTCAGATTGTCCCAGGACTTTGGTTTTGCGTACTGAAGGCACGGCGGTGGTCGTTGATGAACATTCGTCGGATCCCAATACAGGGTATCCGTGCTGAGACTAGTTGTGCAGGAAGCTACGCTGTCTGCGATGGTAGAGACGTCGCTGCTGGTGATGGAATGCAAACTGTGCCCGGAGGTTCGCGAGCAATTGTGCGTACCGTGTTGCTGTTGCTGCTGCTGCTGCTGTTGTTGTTGCTGTTGCTGCTGCTGATCCCGTTGCACGTGATGATGTTGCTGCTGCATCTGCTGCTGTTGTTGTTGCTGCTGCTGTTGCTGCTGGTGCTGTTGCTGTTGCTGCTGTTGTTGATGATGATTTTGCTCGGTCTTCGCTCGCCTCTGTTTCTCCCGACGACGCCGACTAGGCACGCAATTTGGGTCGCAACAAGGACTGGCCAGGTCGTACGCGTCCAAGCTACCGTTGTCCGCTTGTTCTCTTCGACGATTCGTGCTAGAAATGCAAGCCACGCACAAGCTGGTCTGAGGAGGAGCATGAAGAGCCGGCTCTCCGCCGGATTGCTGCTGTTGCTGGCAAGACTTGTGCGATTTCGATTTCGCCGGTGTGTTGCTCATGCCGTTCGCTTGGTGATAGCTGTGTCTCGAAGAGGTCGCCACGCTGGAGTCGCTGGACATCTTCGACAGAAAGTGATGGTGATCGCTGCGGGACCGCGGCGGCCCCACTGCTACCAGGCAAGCGGCGTTCCGGGGCACCAAGCACGGCCGACCATCGGAGAACTATAAAAACATTAAAAAGACAGGCTCAACGATATAGGTTAAGGCGCTAGATGCTATTATTTTACGAGCGACACCAGATGTCGCCGGACGGCGAAACACGAGTTATCCGGACAAGGAAGAGCTTGAAATTTGTTAGATATATATAGTTGTTCAAGAGGGTACCACGTTGTACAGCAGAAGGTGTTCGGTAGACGTGGCTGGCCGACAACACTGAATCGTCGAGGAGTTGAAACTGGACGACGGCGACGGCTGGTTGGGGTTGTTGGCGATCACGGTGTTGGGCGTACGTTTTCGTGCTGGCAGTGAATGGGTTTTCCATCGACCCATTATGATGGACTGTTCCCTCTCGCACAGCCTCTCCAGCTCGCCTAATCGCGATTGGAGGGCACGTTGCAGCTCGATGTAACGCATATGCAATTCCACCTGGGGGGGGGGGGGGGGGTGGAAAATAAAATGAAACAATAAATAATAAAATAAATAACATGACAATAAATAAATAATAAAATAACGAACGAACGCTCGTTCGCCTCGGGCTGCAACAGGGGTGTTGCAGAATCTCTTTCTCTCACCTTTCTCACGCAGTCTTCGAAAGACACCACCATACGCATCCTAGTATCACAGTTCTTTATGAAGTTGACCAGGGTTTTGTGGTCGGCTCGGTCCATTTCGTGGCCATTTATCGAGAGTATCACGTCGCCCTCCCGCATGCCGGCTTTGGACGCCGGCCCGTCGTACTCGACGTAATCCACGTACGTGACCATCTCGATTTCCTGCTCCCTTTTGTAGTGGATCCCATAACTCTGCGCAATTCGCCGATGTCGTTACTCGAATCGGGAGTCTCGCAACGTTCTCGCGTTATCCAAAAGATAACTCGACACCGATACGTTCCATATTCGCGACGTCCCAAAATCCCCAGAACCGAAATCTCCGTGCCGATAAAAGGCCCGGAGGGATAAAGGGACCGCGTGACCCGTGGAACGGATACGTTACCTGCAAGGTGAAACCGTACGTGCCGTTCTTCTTTTCGACGATGATGGTGCGACGACGTCTGTCCTCGTCCGTACGCGTCGCTCGATCCGACTTCGACCTCTCCAGAACAGCCTACGAAGGTACGCGTTACTTGAGCGAACTCGAAGACGCATAACGTGGTCGTCTTGTCGCGAACGAAAGAGAAAGAAAAACGGACAGACTACGAGACACGGCCAGAGGCGCGCGACAGCGGAACGGAAAAAGAGGCGGCGGGCGCCGGTGAACTCTGGATCGGTGGAACGGAATCGAAACGTTCTCGAGAGGCTCGCGCGAGGAGGAGAGAGAGAGCCAGCCGATGGAAAGCGGACCGCGCGGATCGCCGCGATCGTCGGCGCGGGTCGTCGATCCGGAGCTCACCGGATTACAAAGTGCAACGGAAACACAGAGTGCGATCCAGAGGCTGCGTTTCTGGAGTCCGTTGCAGCGCGGACAGCGAACGGAACGAACGGATAAAACGGGGCCGGCCGACGCAACGACGGAACTGAAAACAACGAAAACAGAACGGAGAATAGAAATATGCTTAGGTAATGAAGATTCAACACACGTTGTGCAACCCACAGAACTTCCTTGACCACGAAAAACAACTTGAAATGGGCAACAAGAAACTGCTCGAGGAAGGCTGTTTCAGCAAATAAAAATCATTCTTTCGGTACACGAGTCGATGCAATAACATTACACATTCCACGACACCACTCCATTCTTCCTCGTCGCTGTTCTCGACGACGCCGCCGCCACCGCCGCCGCCACCACCGCCGCCACCACCGCCGGCCCGGTGCTGTTGCCCGGCCACCACCTCCGAATTCTGCGGCGAGCTGTTCATGATTCCACACCGTCAACTGGAGGATATCCGTCAAAGGCCAAAGGTTTTGCTACTCTTTCTCTGCTCTGCCACGCGGTGAGAGAGAAAGAGAGAGAGAGAGAGAGAGAGAGAGAGAGAGAGAGGGAGGGAGAGAGAGAGAAAAAGAGAGAGCGCGCGAGAGCGAGAAAGGGGGAGAGAGAGAGAGGGAGAGAGAGAAAACGAGAAAGCGAGGGAGGGACAAAACAAAACTCGAGCAGCGCGCACCACGGGAACCACGGCTGGTCGCACGGCTCGTTGCACCGCTCGACGAAGGCGGCGATTTCACTCTCGCGCGATTTCCCCTCTTCGGGTCAGGGTTCACATTTTGGAGGGCGACGCGGAGGGCCAGAGGCGAGAGCCAGCCAGCCAGCCAGCCAGCCCCGGAGGTGAACGTGCGTTTAGACGCGATTATGCATGTGTATGCTCTTTTATCGCCATCCTCCTGGACGCGGACTGTCTCGTCGGGCAATGCGCCTGCTCGACAATATCGGCTTACAACCCCGTCGACCGCCGCCGCCCCCCGCCCGCCGCGTTCGTGGTAACAGAGGGTGAAACCAGAGCGCAGACTCCGCGCTTCCTCTATCTCTCCCTCTCTCTCATCCCCTTCCGGTCGGCTTTTATCGAGACGTCTCTCTCTCTCGGCCTTTTCTCTCTCCCGAGTGCTCCCCTCGGGGACAGGAATAACGCCCGACGTGCAACGTCCTTGCTGTTGCAACGTCATCTTTCTCGGGGAACGTGTCAATGAACGCCCGTTCCCGGAAGGTTTCGGGGATTGCCCAACTCTGTCGCTTTTAGAAACGGAGAGCCGAGTGGCGGGGTTGCTGGGAAATTGATGCAAGAGCATCGATTCTCCTCTGGAACCGGTCGTTACCTCCGATACTTCGAGGTAGAAACATTATTACGAACCGCTGCTTCTGGATAGAATGTAAACTTGTACACGATAGAGTTTAATACTAAACTTACCAAGCAGTAATACTAACTGGCATATACTGCTTCGCATAAAGTGAGAAGACCGAATTTATTTAGAATTTGTACAGTTTTTATTAGAAAACTTGCAGCGATAATGTAACTTATTCAAGCGTTTTTCACGAAAGAGTCTCGGAACTTTTCGGAATTGTAAAATAAGAAAGCGGTTATTTTGACCGCGGTAGGTTTAGCATTAATTAATTGCAAGTTGGACGAGGCTGGACAAGGCTCGGAGGGCGTAGACGCAGAGTCGTTGAATATATTACACGTACATATACGGATATACGTATAATATGCATGTACGTATATGCGAGTGTAACGAACCTGGTACCTATACGTGTACGCGCATAGACGTAAATTATATATATATATATATATACGTACGATATCAATTTTTAACAGGGTTTCCTTGTTTTTCAACGTACCGCGCCACCGGTTCCTTCTGTTATTGGACCAGCGTTATAGGAAATCGATGGTCTCTCGAGAGACCTCGTCGTTGGTGGAACAGAAACGCTCGCGGAGCTCTTGCGATTCGAATCTTACGTCCGGAGTCGCTGTCGAGAGAGATTGCGCGACAATAATCTTCCACGTGCCTGTTACAGAAACTCCGAAAACAGAGTTTATCTATCGAATCATCTTCCGCGAGAATCGGCATTTTCGACTCGTCTACCACTCGAGCAAGCGCTTGCGAAAATGAGCGAAACAACCGTGGAATTAGCGAGGTGCAACGGAATACGGTAATGTCTCCCTAACCGACGCTCAGATTCTGTAGAAAAATGGACAATTTTTGGAAGAGGAGATACGATTGTTCGAGCCTCGCGGCTCGTTATTATAATTGTGGACAATTTATAACTATGAAAATAAACCGCAAGGCTCGAACAATCGTATCTACTCTTCCAAAAATTGTCCACTTTTATGCACAATTTGGGCGACAATTAGGGAGACATTACTGTATTTCCATTCCGGTCGTTCGGCGAGCGCGTGCGACGCGCAACGACGAGAATAACGCGTCGCGACGCCATCTTCGTCTCCGTCGCGGTCCAATGTATTTTTACAAATGGCAAAGCAGCAGGGATACACGCTCGAGCAAAGCGAACGTGGGGGAACAATAAGTGGAAGTCGCAGCCGAGGAAAGCGATCGCGATTTATACCGGCGTATCTCGCGATAAATGGCTTACCTTGCGACGGGACCGCCGATTACTTTCCTTTCCTTTTTCCTGTGCCGACCTTTTTGTGCGCTTTCTTTCCGGCGGCTTTCCCCGGGACCGAATCCGCCGACGATCTTTGCGGCTTCGACGGCGGCAGAGGCGGCGCCTTCGGTCTCGGAACCGGGACATCCCTGAAAAGCCCCGAGATGCATCGAAAGCGCGATCGACGGATCAATATTTAACCCTTTAATGGATATATATAATATTATATATAATCAATATTATTCATATATTGATTATATTATTATTTTTATATTGATTATATTATTATTGATTTATATTGATTATATGATGATGATTCATTATTGATTATATTATTCATATTTATATATAATCAATATTTAACCCGGATATATCCGGCATCCATCCGATGACCAATATGGACGAGTGCCGAATACATCTGGCATCCATGTAAGCCATATTTCTGTAGCCATGTTTCTTTACAGAATGTTCACAGGAAACATTTAAAGAAAGATTTAGAAACGGATTAAGCACAGTCATTGCTTAACGCTTATGAAAATCTTCGTACAAAAGTGGACCGACCCAGCGTTATGCGCGCATTTTCGGCGCGGCACCCCGTACAGTGGGAGTGTCACGGCGAATAACGCGCTCGTACCGAAAGGGTTAACGTATTCGAGATAACGCTTTGCTCGTTTCGCTTCACGCTCGTAGCCGACGCGAGTCGCGTTCAAACATTTTCCGAAAAAATTAACAAATACACAAAGGTATTGCGAAACGCTGGGCCGCGCGGAGACGGCGTCGGAGGAGTTCGACGGAATCTCCGTAGTTCTCTTACTTGATAGCGATGCTTATCTCCTGCAGCGATCTATCCTGGGTGACGTTCACCCAAAGATTCGATCGCGTCCTCGGCTCGGTGCACAACCCTCGGGCCGAGCAGCATTTCGCGTAATCGCGTTCCTCCTGGGCCCGAAGCTTCCTCTCCCAGCACTCCTCCCATTTACGCAAACGTTCTTGGTCCGCCGCTTCCTTCTCCGCCTCTCGTCGTCGCCGATCCTCCTCCGTCCGGCTCGGAATTTTCTTCTTCTTGCGCTTTTTCCCGACGCTCGACATAGTATCGTTCTTTTCTTTCACGTTCCCCGCATATCGACGTCTTCCCCGAGACTCGTCAACCACCGCTTCCGGCCGCTTTTAATTGCTACAACAGTTGTCCAGGCCCTAATATCCTCCTCGCGGTTATGTCAAGCGCTCTCGCGTTCTATCGCACCGATGTCCCGGGACGTTTCCAGCCAGCAACCGAACCAACGTTTCGGGCAAACACATTAATGTCCGAATATTAATCGCGACCCATCTTTGTACTCCGATGGAAGAACGCGAACGGGAAACGTTCGACACCGAAGGGACTATTTGTTCATTGCGCTCGCAATCGCACGACAATTTTGACGTAGGTTCGCGTCGAGAAAGCGCGGTGAAGCGAGCAGCAACGCGGCGCGCTTGTTCGAAGATCGTTTCACAGGGAACGCGGAACGATCGGCGACGAGGAGCCGAAATACGCGCGAAATAAAAATAAAGGAGGATCGTTTCCCTCGATAACTTTGATCGGTTGAAAATAACGTGATCTCGATCGCATCGATTTTCGTCGGAAACGCGCAAAGGGTATAGTAAAATAGTGTTCTACGAACGCTGTTAAAAACGATCGATGGTCGATTACCGTTCAACGTTTTTCTCACTTCTGCTTGCAGTTGCAGCTATAATCCTTCACCGGACAGCCGCACTTCCTCGTGCTAGGCTCTCTGGACGACGGACCGCCGAAGGGTTGAGACGCTTTCGCCGGCGGCGAACAACAAGGAGGACACTTGTCGGCGCCCGACTGACCTAATTTCACGAGTTGCCCAGGCTGCGGGGTGCAGCAGGGAACACAGTTTCCCGAAGCTTTCCTGCTGGACGATAGTCGCACGCTTTTCTTTCAAATTTCCCTCTTGTATAAGTTAACAACGCGAAATTCGAACGATGGACCAAAGGAAGGAAGAAGAGTAAAGCGGGAGAAAAGCGAACCGAAACGCTTCCGCGGTAAATCCCAAGCCTTTCGCTAAATACAGACTGTCCCAAAAATGTCTCGCAATCCAAAAGTGGCGGGTTCCTCGGGTGATTCGAAGCAACTATTTCCTTTACAAAAATGTTCTCCCAGGCAGGTTGAGAGGCGAGCTCGGCTTGCGCGAGGCGACCGAGCCAATGAGCGGAACTGGGCTTCGCGCGCTGGGCCGCCTCGCGTCAGTCGTACTCGATTCTTATCGGTCACTGTTTTTCGTTGATAACTCGTTAACGGTGCATCGGAGAACATTTTTGTAAAGGAAGAAATGATCCGAGGAACCCGCCATTTCCGGATTGCGAGACATTTTTGGAACATCCTGTATATGCGGAACCGTCGCGACATCTTGATTCGCGAGTCCTTAAATTAGAATTAGAAACGGCCGAGTCCCGTCGGCACGGCTTCGTAAATCCGGTTCGTCTCCCAAATAATTAAAAATGTTCGGAGCCCTCGTCCTAGCTTTACGACTCTCGCGAGCCCTAGGTTCCAAGGGTCCTAGATTCTAGGTGCTATGCCGAAGGGCCGAGGTCCGAAGGGTCCTAGAACCTAGGTGCTAAGAGTCCTAGATCCTAGGTCCTAAGCCGAAGGCCCGAGGTCCTAAGGGTCCTAGAACCTAGGTCCTAAGGGTCCTAGATCCTAGGTGCTAGACCGAAGGTCCTAGTAGCGGTGGAACAACAAGTTCCGAGGGTCGGAGCGCGGCAGGGCGCAGCGGTTCGAAGAAATAGAAGACGCGGGGTGAAACGTACCTAGGGTGGTCTTGTCGGGAGGGGCAGCACGGCCGCGGGCCCGAGTAAGGTTGCGGAATCTTGGCAGGCGGCGGAGGGCACGGGGGTTCCGGCGCGGGGCAACAGGTCCTTCGCGAGGGCGAGGGCGAGGACTCTCCGCCGCCGTCGTGGTGGCCTTTCGTCGCGCAGGTACACTTGACCGGGACAGGCGCGTAGCAGACGGACGGTATCTTTTTGCACTGGAAAACGGGGCTGTCCTCGGCGCCCTTGAACAGGTACGGTTTCCTGTTGTGCGGTATCTGGAACCGCGTGATGATCTTCCGACCGAAACCGGAGGCCCTCGCGTACACGGTCACCGTGCCGACGCACTGGCCCGTCGCCGTCGAGATCTTGAACGTGTCCTTGATCGTCTGACAGGGGTTCGGGATCTTGAACACCTGCTGGCTCAGCACCGCGTTCATCAGGGCTCTAGCCTCGATCCGATGGCTGCCGATAACCATCACGTCCGGCAAAACTCCCGGCGGCAGCTTCTTGTAGACGGACATTTGGATCGGGAACGTGGTCAGCGGCTTTTGCAGGACGATCGAGGGCAACGCGAACAGACAGGACTTGCCCTTCTTGAAGATCCGAGTGTCGCCGTCTTCGCAAGCGCAGCACTCCGTTAACGCCTCCTGGCAGATATCTATCGCCGGCAGGCTGAGAATCTGTGGACCGTAACGCCGGCTATTCGAGGCTCTCTCCGCGGCGAGAGTGCCGCGTCCTACGGAGCGCAGGATCTTTCGTATTCCGATCCGGCAGCCGATAATCCGGATCTAGTTGCGCGAGTTCCCGAGTTAAACGGCCGTCGCGTTCCTCCGGCCGAATTTCAAATTTCAGAGACACGTGTTATGGAAAAGCCTGTGCACGCGTAATTCCGTTCTCCGGAGTACGCCGAGGAACGGTTTGCACTTAGGGAGACAGCGCGACGCGAACGCGAGCGATTTTAGACGGCGAGATGCAACTTCGAGGACCGTCGATGACTCGTACTCGCGGTTAAGGTTATCCGAGAAACATATTTCGGCCGTTCGATGGGAGACGAATATCGAATGGACCGGTGCCGACCAACGGTTACCTGAAAGGAAACGCAGGTGCAGGCGGGCAGCGGTTCGTCCTGCATCGCCCTGATCACAGGGATCTTGACTCTGTCGACCAAAAACTCGATCAGAAAAAGCTGTTGCTCCTCTCCCATGTCAAATTCGAGTCGGAAAACAGCGCGGTCTTTATTTCATGGCTCTTTGGAATTTTCTTTCCGGTCGCGGAGAAGATCTCGCGGATATTGAACTGGTAATTTGGACAGAATTTTCGAACGGGGCAAAATTGCACGCGGAAAATTTCGAAGTTCAGGATCCAAGTAGAGGGCACTCGGTGTCGACGTTTGAAATTTGACGCGGCCCGTCAAATTCTGACGCCTGTGCTCTCTCTCTCTCTCTCTCTCTCTCTCTCTCTCTCTCTCTCTCTCTCCCTCCCTCCCTCCCTCCCTCCCTCCCTCCCTCCTCTCTCTGTACGTAGGATTCGAAAAATCGTTCGACAGAACCCGCCGACACCTTTCGTACCAAACAATTAAACATTCGCGTAGATCCAAGATCGCTTTATTCATTCTCGGCTACACAGAAAATCAGAAAAAATAACGCAACATCCTCGAGCTCGATCGTTCAGTAATCCTTCTTCGGCTTCTTCTTCTTCTTGCTTTTCTTCTTCTTTTTGTCCTCGTCCGTCTGCATCTCTCTGGTCTCCATCCTGACGGGCGGTCCCTTCTCGACGCCCTTCGGGGTTCTCATCTCCAACTGTATGTCCGACTTCTCGCCGGCTCCCACTATGCCCTTCTTGCCGATCCTGAGCACGAAGACGTCGTGGCTGGGATCGGAACGGTCCTGCTGGTCGGCTCGGTCGGACTCGGAGGTCACGGTGACCGTCGGTTTCTCGTCCCTGCCGGTGTCCAGCACGCCGGATACCTTGAGAACGACCGCCTTTCCGCACGGTTGCGCCGGACCGCGGCTGGATTGGATCAGGCCGGTCTTGCGCGCCTCGTCGCAGCTCTCGGGTCTCGATCGCGACTTCGACACCGTGGTCGGATAGCCGTGCCCGAATCCGTCCGATCCGCCGAGCTGCCTCTGGCTCGCGTCCGGCTTCAAGGTCGCGCCGTCGGGGTTCCCGCAGGGCGTGCACGGGTGCTCCTCCTTCGCGCAGACCCGACAAGGCGAGCAAGCTCCTCCTCGGCCCTCGGTCAGGTCCTCCGCCGAATCCTTGCCGACGTCCGCGTCCTTCGAGTCGATCACGCGGCACCTGTAGCCGACCGACTTCCGGTCCACCTCGTCGCCCTTGAAGAAGAGCCAGCGATTTCAGGTTTTCGAATCCGGCCGATCGATTCTACAATGCTACACGTTGGTTCGACCTCTACCTTGAACACGTAGGCGTCCACGTCCATGTCGGGCGGCGCTTCGAACTCCGTGACGATGGTCTGCCCGAATGCGGATATCCTGACGAAGATGCAGACGGCGCCGACCTCGTCGCCCTTGTACACCAAGGGCACCTCGCCCTCGAAGCACTTCGGGGGCGGCGCCATCCTGTGCCAGCACTGCAGCATCTCCTTTCTGAGGGCCGCGAAGTGCTTGCTCATGTTCAGCTCGCCCTCGCCGATCGGAACGTCCGGCTTCAGCCCCGCCGGCATCTTCTTCTCGACGAGAAGCGACACCGTGAAGTCGAGGAGCTTGTTCAGGACGGTACGGTGATCGATGGCGAACAGAACGGACCGTCCCGAGTAAAAGTACTCGACGTCGTCGGCTACGCCCGCTTGCGGCTCGAACAGAGGATCCACCGGCGTTATCTCGATGGCCTCCTCGCTCGAGAAGTTCAGGAAGCTCGCGGTGATGGTCGTGGGGACGAAGAACATTTGGTTCAGCTTCGCCAGGCGGTCACCGGTCACATGGTGCACCAAGAACTCCAAAAGAAAGAGGTATTGCTCGTTCGTTTCCGGCGCAGCCTCTCTGGTTCCGAGCGACGCCGACTCCTCGGGGTTGTTAACCTGCGACAGGTTCGGGCTCTTCCTCTTCGAACGACTGCCCATCGCTGCGAGTGTCCAGGCTTGCGAGCGACATGGAGCGGAGAACGAGCGGGGCGACCTTCGAAGGGGATCTCGTCGGAGTTGGATCGTTGCTTCTTCGGATCGCGCGTTCTCCTCTCGCTTTCGCTGTTCAGGGTTAGACCTTGGACCGCGGCATTTCCCTGAAGTTTTCGTCGACGGCACGGGGATCGATAAGCGATGGACGATGGGTTTCAGGCGGATAGCGTAACCTTGGGAAACCAATCGCTGTTGGTTGATCGGCCGCGTTATTTTAGCTTCGGCAGCGACGAGAGGTCGTCTTCGCTTGAAATAGAGTCGCGATTACATATTACAATTACGCGTCGCGATCGCGATCGCGACGACGACCGAACACCGGACGAAAAACTGAGGGCGGAGATCTAAATGTACAGTTTCCGTTCTGTGACTTAGACATACGATAGGCATACGGCGTATAAAATGTTTCACGCTTCTTTGTTGCATTTACTATGAAGCGTAAAAAAAGGAATGTTTTATCGTAGCAATATTTTTTGCTTGGAGACTTTTGTAAACGAATCAACTTTTTATATAACTGTTGAAAATTTTTACACATTCATGGTAAAATGATAATCGAGATGCAACAAATACAGTTATAAAATACATTTTACAATAGATTTTGCGTATTTATTTTTCCTGCTTATTACATATAGAACGGAAGGAATGCCATGGTAGTTTACAAAATAGTAACATATACTGCCTATATTCTAACGCCATTTATGCAACACATACGAATCGATGCGCTTCATTTTTATCGTCCACCACAATTATCGTTTAACTAATTTATACAGTTATATACAACATATGCATTAATGTACAAGATGTAGAGTATGGGGATGAATATTGAGAACGTCGTCTATTTTTCCAATGGTGCATAATTCAAAAGTTTCTCAATCAAATCGACGTGTCCGAGGAGCATTCTGCGGCAGCAGTATCTCTTCAATCCGAGTGCATCGAGTGCATCTCTGCAATGCATAAATAAGCACATTTACATGGTAACGATATACACTTTTCCAACAAACATGTTACAAGGTATTATTACTTATAGATCAACAAAAATATAATTTGCTATTGCCACACATTTTAGGCGTTCGATATACGTAGACTTGTTTATCTCGTGGGTTCTACGAAGTCTCGAAAGTAAGGTTAGAATTTTATCGACGGATAAACTAGTCCATAAATGATGAGAAATTATTTATTTACATATCGATAAAATGTAATAATTACCCCTCTGTGTATTCGGCCTGCAGCAGACCAAGATAAGCTTCCCATTTGTTGCCAATCACTTTCCCGCAAGTAAAACAACGCACCGGTATAATCATGCTTATAAATTGGTTCGAACTGTGGTTCAAACTGTGTTCTCTCTTTTGCCACCAGAGGGATATACATACAATAATGGGTTTTACTCCTGCAGACAACCAGAACGCAGCATGATCCGTTAGCGAGAGTGAATNTTACAATAGATTTTGCGTATTTATTTTTCCTGCTTATTACATATAGAACGGAAGGAATGCCATGGTAGTTTACAAAATAGTAACATATACTGCCTATATTCTAACGCCATTTATGCAACACATACGAATCGATGCGCTTCATTTTTATCGTCCACCACAATTATCGTTTAACTAATTTATACAGTTATATACAACATATGCATTAATGTACAAGATGTAGAGTATGGGGATGAATATTGAGAACGTCGTCTATTTTTCCAATGGTGCATAATTCAAAAGTTTCTCAATCAAATCGACGTGTCCGAGGAGCATTCTGCGGCAGCAGTATCTCTTCAATCCGAGTGCATCGAGTGCATCTCTGCAATGCATAAATAAGCACATTTACGTGGTAACGATATACACTTTTCCAACAAACATGTTACAAGGTATTATTACTTATAGATCAACAAAAATATAATTTGCTATTGCCACACATTTTAGGCGTTCGATATACGTAGGCTTGTTTATCTCGTGGGTTCTACGAAGTCTCGAAAGTAAGGTTAGAATTTTATCGACGGATAAACTAGTCCATAAATGATGAGAAATTATTTATTTACATATCGATAAAATGTAATAATTACCCCTCTGTGTATTCGGCCTGCAGCAGACCAAGATAAGCTTCCCATTTGTTGCCAATCACTTTCCCGCAAGTAAAACAACGCACCGGTATAATCATGCTTATAAATTGGTTCGAACTGTGGTTCAAACTGTGTTCTCTCTTTTGCCACCAGAGGGATATACATACAATAATGGGTTTTACTCCTGCAGACAACCAGAACGCAGCATGATCCGTTAGCGAGAGTGGATGTAGAAATTTTCTTTGCTCCGATTGGTTAACGATTCGATGCTGAAACAAGATCCACTGCGGATTGGATGCGCGGTAAGCTTAGGGAGTAAGAACAGCGTACAAAAGTAAGTCCGATTACCACTACATAGCGTAGCAACAAGCTCCCGACGCGTCGTCTAGATATAACTAGGTTAAGTAAAATAGTTGGTTTTAAGTCCTTAAGTTGTAAATCTAGTTTAAGGGTAGCGCATCCACCGGATTGGTGGAGAAGGAAGGACGAAGCTGTCTATTCTGTTCCCGCCTACAGAAGAGAAAGAACCGAATAAAAAGTGTGATATTCGCAAAGAGATTCTGTAGCGATTTTCTATCCGCGTCCACATATATATATATATATATATACATACCGGCCTGCAAAATTCCCCACAATAGCTTAGATCTTAGACCACATCTACGGTACAGTCATCTTCCAATCCAGGAGCTTTCTCTTCTCCCAATTCAAGACCTTTTTATTTACTGCGTTTCCGTATCCGCGCAGTTGCTTTAGAAATAGAACGGGAGATGATCGAGAGAGGCAACTATGGCCACCCACATCTTCTGCAGCTTCTCTTCCAAATAGTAATTTATCATTCGCCGAGCCTGAAAATGCGTATCTATCGTTAAAATTAGCTATCAAATTGGTACCGAGATTCGATGAAAAATCAAGTTGATAGTCGCTATTAGTCTCGTTTCGTTGATATTGTACTCGTGTTGCGCGGTCTCTCGGCTTCCGAGCAACGCCAACCCATCGGCGTCGTTAACCTGCGACAAGTTCGGGCTCTTCCTCTTCGAACGACTGCCCATCGCTGCGAGTGTCCAGGCAACGGAGTGGACAACGAGCGGGGCGACCTTCGAAGGAGATCTCGTCGAAGTCTGGTCGTTGCTTCTTCGGATCGCGCGTTCGCTCGCTTTCGTTGTTCAGGGTTAGACCTTGGACCGCGCGGCATTTCCCTGAAGTTTTCGTCGACGGCACGGAGATCGATAAGCGATGGACGATGGACGATGGGTTTCAGGCGGATCGCGTAACCTTGGGAAACTAATCGCTGTTGGTTGACCGGCCGCGTTATTTTAGCTTCGGCAGCGATGGAAGGTCGGCGTCGCTTGAAATAGAGTCGCGATTACAATGCGTCGCATCGCGATGCGATCCTTGAAAAATAAATGTTGCTGGACGTAAAGCCAAAGATGGCTTTACGTTGAAGAAACAGCCTTTCTACCAAAACGAACCGACCTATTCTATGAATGTGTAACTCACGATCGTTGGACAAGTCATAATTGAGATCGCAAGCGATACTTGTACATCTGTTCCTCTTGGCTAGACATCGGTTGTTATTGGTAACCGAGGGCATCTAATGCGGCGAGTCGAGGCGCGGCGCCGCAATTCGATCGAGACGATTGAATTAGGCGAAAGTCTCCGTCACGAGATGATATCTGGACCCACGGCTTTTAGATCGGTCGATCAATCGAGAGACCGAGGGGGCTTCTTGGACCCCCCTGGCGCGGACGACGGCTGGGTCATTGAGGCGCTGAACTTGAGATGCCGAGAATTAGCGGAGTTAGTACATATACAGGGTGTCCTAAAAATGTCTCGCAATCCGGAAACGGCGGGTTCCTCGGATCATTCGAAGCAGCTTGTTCCTTTATAAAAATTTTCTCTCAGGCACCGTTAACGAGTAATTAACGAAAAACAGTGACCAATAAAAATCGATCGCCCAGCCAACCAGCGCGCGAAACCCAGTTCCGCTCATTGGCTCGGTCGCCTCGCGCCAGCCTAGCTCGCCTCTCATTGGTTAACTGTCTTTCGTTAATAACTCGTTAACGGTGCCTCGGAGAAAATTTTTGTAAAGGAAAAAGTTGCTTCGAATGACCCGAAGAACCCGCCACTTTCGGATTGCGAGACATTTTTGGGACACCCTGTATATATATTCACGATACGCGATCGTTCGTATTGTAAAAAGATCTCTGAAATATCTGATCTGGAGCGGACCGAACCGAATAAAATAACAACGATCTAATTATTTCGTCTTCGCATTTCGGAATCGTGTAACGCGAATCCTGGATCTCGAACGTAAAAATCTAGAATCTAGAATCTAGAACGTTGTTTTCGACTCTTGGACTCTTCGACTCTTCGACGTTGGTCGACTCTTGGATACATTAAAGTCTTGTTACCAGACTGCGGATCTTTACGCTAAATAAAAATGTTCTTCGTCGACGATGTAAAACAAAATCTTGGCTGGCCCACGTTTCGTTCGTCCATTTTTGCTATGAACTCGTTAAATCCGCGGTCTACTTGTTTACATCGAATCGATAAGCTCGACGAAACATATTTCAAAGTCGTTGAAATCGCAGCTGGCTACCATCCCGTGAATTGCAAATTAATCGGAACAGATGTCGGAACGATCAGCGTATACGGTTTCTCATCGTTCGATCGGAAATTGCTGCTCCGTTCTTGTTCGGTATACCAGGAACGTATAGTAGCGTCTCGTTGCTCGAACAGCCGTCTGGAATTTTAATTGTTCCCCAATTAAAGCAACGAAGGGACACACGTATTGCGCCGGCAATTTCGACCGATCGAATATAGGCCACACGGGTAATAAGACGTCCGAGAACCAATCTACCGCGAAATGAATCGCGCTCGACACTAATTTCCTAATGAATCGCGAGTGATTTCTAACTCGTAATTTCTAACCTAATTTCAGCGAGAACTAGGCGAAACTGGTTCGATCGTTAATCGTGCGCTGATAGATTCGGCTTTGCTCTCGGGGTGAAAACGGCTCCCGTTCTTCCGTTCGTTTCATCGATTCGATACGATTTCTCAATTTACAGCCTCGCGTTCCATCTTCCCTCGTTCGGTACGAATTACAGTAATGCCTCCCTAATTGACGCTCAGATTATGCAAAAAAATGCACAATTTGGGAAGAGGAGATGCGATTATTCGAGCCTTCCAGCTCGTTTTTATAATTATTGAAAATCGGTAACTATAAAAACGAGTCGCGAGGCTCGAATTTGCGAGACTCCTCTTCTCAAATTGTCCATTTTTGTGGACAATCTGAGCGCCAATTGGAGAGACATTACTGTACATTGATGTCTCCTTAATCGACGCTCTGATTCTGCAGAAAGATGGACAATTTGGGTAGAAGAGATACGATTATTCGAGCATCGCGGCTCGTTTTTATAATTGCAGACAATTTATAA